TATTTAATAATTCTCTTGCTTCTTCAACTAATTTAACTTGTCGTTCTTTTTCAGACGATGATGATGCTGATGATGGTGATGGTAACGATAATAGGGGTGGCGTCGATGATTGTGTTGTGACTGCTGTCGGAGAATCAGTGACTAACAAGAGAAAAGGAAATAATTGTAAGAGAGAAGAAAAAAAAAATGAGAAAGTGCGGTTACTCTACTACTTCTATAATGATGCCGTAGGAGCGTAAGAAGGTGAACTATTGCTCTTCGGTTATTGAGAGACAGAGAGCGAGAGAAAGCGAGTGAGAGAGAAATAGAAACAAAAGGTAAAAAAGAAAATAGACAGAGAAAAAGGAACTTAAGATCTTGTATTCACTCATGAGACACACAATAAAGAAAAGAAAAATAAAAGAGAGCAAAATGATCATCATCATCAACTCACCTCAGGGTTTGTGTGTGTGTGTGTCTCTACTTCAAAAATATAAAGAACAAGAGAAGACAAATTTAGTCGACAGGTGACGCGCCGATAAGTAGATGCGGTCGATACATACACCATGTTTATTATTATGTCGGTTGCAACTAATCACAATGAACCTACCGAAAAATGAGTTCTTATTATTACTGTTGTCGGTAGACTCACTTATTATGGTATATTACGTCATTAACAACATGTCTATCTATCTATCTATCTATCTATCTATATACATGTAAGACTGTGTATGCACACATGAGGATTTGTCTATTCAAAGATTTACTGATCTACTTAAAGAAAATATACCAGAACGATTCGTTGAAAAATGTTCACATAAAAAATAACAAGTGTTGAACTTCCTGTGTTAGACAAATAAATATTGGCTACGAAACAAGTCAAGACGGGAATGCAAAAAAAAATCCAATTATATGTTTGTCTCTGTTTTTTTGATGGGATGTGCCTGGTCTTTATCTCTAAATATATTAGGCAGAAACTTTTCTTTTTCTTTTTTTTTGTCATGATTATTATTAGTACTTCTCGTTATAGAGAAAGAGGGAGAGGGAGAGAGAGAAAAAAAAGGATTAATTGAACATGCAATACGATTACAGTGACTATCTCTGATCATGTAACTCATATATGTGTTAAAATAGAAAAAGAAATGAATCTCAATATTGATAATGTGATGATGGTTGTTAGATTTAATGTATAAAAACAAAACAAAAAAGAATATGAAATTAGATTTGACAATACGTCTAGTTTATTCTATTGAACATACTCATCGATGTTAATTGATTCCATAGTTGTATTAAACGTTTTATTTTATCTTTAACTTCATGATTATTTATATAACAATATTTAATTAATTCCTCAAAATGTTGTTGTCGTTCATTTAAAGCTAATTGAATTGTCTATGAAAATAACATTTTAGATTTCAATGAATACATAAATAAATAAATAAATAGATAAAAATCTTTACATGTTTATCTATGGTTTTTGATTCATTTATAAAACTTGTTAACCAATTAATAAGAGAATCTAATTCAAGAAAAAGTCCACGTTGTTGTTCAATACGATTTTCTAACTGAATCCGTGCTGTTGTTACACGTGTTGCAATCTATAAATAAATATTAATGATGAGAGAAACATAAAAAGACAAGAAGTATCACGCACTTCTCTTAATTCATCAGTTAACGAACGAGTTACTTCGCCTGTTGTCATATCATCACCTTTTAACGTTCGACAACTTTCATCAAGTAAAGATTTTAATCGATTGATTTCTTGCTCGCATTCCTTGAATAAAAAAAGAAGAAAAGAAACACAGATATTCAACTTTCTTTCTGTTTGTCAAATAGAAGTTTTTTTTTTTTTATCAGTTATATACTTTAAGCTGACACAAAAGATTATGCTCATTGATTTCATTATCCGATGAATTCATTGAATCGAAAAAGTATTTTTTATCATCAATCATATGATGATTGTCCATCGTCAATTGCTCTTGTTGATAGATTAATTCTCTAGCCAATGTAAACCAACTTTCAATATAATGAACGAGATTTTCATTTTGCTTCGCTAAACGATCTTCCTCTTTATTTCGTTCAGGTGATGTGTAGCGTGATGCATGCCTAGAAGAAATACATAATATAGATCATTTAGATCATGTGTGATACTAATAATATATGCTTAAGATTAAAAGAAGAACAAATCAAGATTACCATTCATCATATGTAAAACATGAGTAAATGGATAGGAATAGAAAATTACCTTTCTTTAAGTGTATTTAATCCTTCACTGAGAATTCTCCACTGTTCTTTAACATCGGCTATTTCATTTGTCATCTTGGTTGCTTGTTCAGCTGGTAAATCAGCAACCATTGTACGATTTAATATAGTAGCACGTTCTAATAATGATTTGTATTTACTTAATTCATCAAGATTCTAGGGAAAAAAACAGATATATCGATATATGTTTATACATATATTTTTAAAAAGTTGACGCATCGCTGCATATCATTATACCATTTCACTTAACGATCAATCAAAAGTCGCTTACGCCCCTCTCATTATTTTTATATGAATGTTTGATTTCACATCTGATTTTGTTTTAGTTTCTTTTCTCTTCTTTTTAAACATACTTTGATAATAAGTAATGCTCTTTGTTTATTAACTGATTGTAAAACTTCATGTATGTTAGCATTTGTTGATGATAACCATGAAGACAAACGTTCAATATATTGTTTATATTCAGCAAATGGACTTGTATCAACCATTGTAAGACTATAATGTTTTTTATAATCATCACATAGACGAGAATATTCAGTTGTTAAACGTTCAACAAGTGTGAATTTTGATCCAAGTTGCTTTGCTGTTTGAACGGCTGGTGCGAGACTATTAATAGCCTCTTTGATAGCCTAGAAATTATTTATTAAATAGATGTTAATATTACTTAATTGACAAGCATGCTGTTTTATGACAATTATCAGTATTGGAGGTTTTCTAATATTATATTCTATGCTCAGGCAACTACGTGAATGATTTTTCCTTGTTCTTCATATACTACTTTCTTTTGTTGTTACTCTTCAGAGTTGACAAGAAAAAAAAGAAGGAATGGATTGTGTGAGGCCTTTCTTTCCTTTTATGAATCGAACACACAATAGCTACTATGTTTTTACTATATATATATATATATATATATATATATATACATGTATGTGTGTGTATGTTTGGCAAGTAATCAAGTGTAGGAGAAAGAGAAAGTTACAAGCTATCACGGAACATACAAAGATGATTAAATAATATGAATAGTAAAGATAGAAGAACGTATGTGCATGTTAACTTGGTACAATCATAAGTCCTGTGTATGGGTGTGTGAACAAAATGAAGAAGCTTTTTTGCTTTTTTGTCGGTAGAACTAGTTATATGAATATATTATGTAGAATATTCAAGGAGAACATTTTTAAATTTAAAAATGATTGATTTTATTGAGTTCATTCAAAAGTTGAAGTTATGGAATGGAAGATAACTAATGAAATATTTTATTGGAATGAAAAGATTATATTATATTTTACTTTTTATATAAAAAGAAAAATAAATAACTGTAGAAAGGCTATAGTTTCTTGACGAGAACCCAATAGATACTGTGCTTATGTAACAAGTAATATTCAATCTAATATAAAAGCTTGTAATCTGATCTTTGTACGATTTTTATCAAGGATTTCGATTGATTAACAATATAATCAAAGTTATTACACTTCTATCATCAATAATGATACACTTAATTTCTTGGCCACAATGAAATTTATATCATTTTTCTTACTTGAAGTTTAGTTGTTAATTCTTCTTGATTTAATTTCGTTGTTTCTTTTTGAATAGTTAATATAGATAAATGTTTACTTAAAGCTGATATAGATGATAATAATTTTTGGACACAATGAATAAAGTCAGCAGGTATGTGTTCTTCTTTCTCAGTAGGCGATGCCATTGGGATTAGATTCTATATATTACAGAGAAAAAAAAAGTCTTGAGATAGACAATGTGATGATGGATTTGCTTGTTGTGCTTGATAAGAACAATACAAGACAACGATAACAAGAAAAGGATATGAGAGAAAGAGAGAGACAAAGAGAAAAGCAAATCAACCAACGCCTAATTGTCGCCTATGTCAATAGTGTATGAAGGATGACTGCGAAATAAACAGACAAGCTGCAATAGTTATTCAGTCGAAATCATCAGGGTCGCCAATCGTATGTACGTGAGAACGCGTAGAAAAAAAAAATGGTTAATTGTTTTGGTAGTGATAAAAATGGCTCTTTGTGTATGGTGGTTTGATCAATTTTTCCTTGTTCTCTCTGTCCCGCTTTCTTCGGTCGGAGGTAACAATTATAGCAAAAAAGCAAGGACGTCATCGTATATCACTGATATTTCTTTTTTTCTTGCTTTCTTTTTATCTCGTTCCATTTTTGTCTTTTCTCTATACAGATACATAAAAGACCAACATCCTATACAATCGATCTTTTGGTATCCTCATGGCTATCATTGGTGGAAAGAAATCACTATATTTCTACAATAAACAAAATGGCATATGCGTCATAGGCAGCATCGCTGTCATACTTGTTATTCTCAATATATAATACAGTTGCAAAACAGAATTCATATTAATAAGATATTTATTTAAAAAACTCTACTAGAATATTTCATTTTCTTATAGCAAATACTTATATATTTATTGAAGAAATGAGAAGAAAAAAAAAGACACAAATTGTACTAGTAGAAATTTAGAACGATAGACATTTTAAAAAAGAAAAAGAAAAACGAAGACAGATACCAGAAGCCTATACTTCTTTTCTTAAAACACTGCGCATGGGCACCGACATTTTCAAAGATATAAATTCGAAAAGAAAGAGAAAAAGAAAACGTAGAGAAAAAAAAAAGCGCACGTATACACACAGCAAACAATGTTCTGTTGTTCTACTAGTAGAATATATAGGTAGGACTAACTCTCTCTTTCTATATGTATATTAACATGGGAGTTATGTTTGCTCTTAGTTGACAATACGTGTTGGATGACGACCAACATTCTGTGGTGGATATGTCTGTTGATCATTAATTTGTTGACGATAACTACTACAACCACCACCACCACCACCACCACCACCACTTTGCTGTTCATGATAAAAAATAGTTGGATGTTGTTCTTGCGAATATGTATTTGTTGTTCGAAAACCACCTGATGAAGCAGTAGTTGCATTTGCATTTGACGATTGATATTGAACAGGTATTGATCGATTAAATGTTTGAGTATGTCCACTTGCACTAGCTGAACGTACTTGTTGTTGCTGTTGTTGTTGTTGTTGTTGTTGTTGTTGCATTTGAGCACTTGATTCTTGATGTTGTTGACGACGAGATTCACCACGTGATGTACTTCTTTCAGCAACATGTCTATCAATAACACGTTCACGATATGTCATAGGTTGTTGATGACAACAAAAATGTGCTGGTGGCGGTGGTGGATGAGGTAAGAGACATTGATGCATTGGAAAACCACCATTTGGCATACTTGCTGATTTCGATATTGAACTTTGGTAATTATCTTGATAACCTTGTTGAGATTTCGCTTGTTTTGTAAATTGAACATTAGAACGTTCATACGAACGATAACGTGGTTGTAAGATTGGTGATGATGGTGCACTTAATGTACGATGATCAATGGCTTTCAAACTACGTACACGTAATAATGGTTGTAATTGATATTCTTCATATGTTGGAATACAACGTGCATGATCATCAGTTCTATAACGTTCAAGTGAATGAACTGTTTTACGATATTTTCCATATTGCGGTGCGGGTTCACTTATTACTGAACGTGTATCATCAATATCATAAATAAAATCGGAATCCATTTCCTAGAATTAAATATTAAAGAATATTTTAATTTTGGCATATATAAAAAAAAGCCTAACTATGGTTAACGTATTTAAAGATATTAATTAAATGTTTTTAATGATTTAAAATATGAACGATTAGTTTTCTCAAGAGATTCATACTCGATCAGAGCAGAATGAAAAAACCTGTATACTAGAAACAAAAAAAATGACAATCATATTTGTCATATTTATATATATATATATCGATGGTCTCAGTTAATATAACCATAAAAATCTAAAGCCAAAGTCAATACCAATATCAATACTGTCCATAAGATACATTGAATAATTACAAGCGTACTGAACGCTATATATACAAAAAAATACATTATCTGTGAAATTACATTTCCGGAAACGAATTCCAGAAAACGCTTCACTGACAATACAAAAAAGCCTATTGTACGTACATAAAACTAAATCGTTCACAAAGAACGAAATATAACAAAAAACAAACAATAAGAATTCCAGCTATTCATAATTTAAATGTTAATATCATAATTAATATAAGTATTTTGTAACATATTCCATAAGAATTAAATATATATTTAAATCAATTTTTTATTCATCATTGACCGATCGATTCTTTTTATTCTTTTTTTTTCTGATTGTCATTTTAAGATTTATGAAAAAAAGGCAAAAAAACTTATTCTCATACCCGTTCTTTTACTGCTGTTGCTCCAGTTGTTGTACGAACATGTTCTTCATATCGTTCATTATATCGAAAAACTTCATCTTGTCCTTGATATTGTTCAGAACGAGTTTTAAGATTTTCTAAACAATCCTAATTAAAACAAAACATATTTTGTTTTTATTTATTTTAATTCATCATAAATTATTTTACTTTAAGTCGACGAATTTTTTCTCTTATACGACGTGCTTGTTCAACATCAGTCTTTTCAATAATATAAGCTCGTTCTTCTGTTTCACGTATAATTCTTTCAATTTCTTCATATTCTGGTCGATCACGAACAGTTCGTTCCTAAAATAAAACAGATTGTATTTTTCTATTTAAATTATTCAATATAAAAAAAAAACCTAAGCATATTACTCATGCATAAAAAATATTTTACATGCGACGAAGCGAAAAAAAGACCACACATGATAGATATATATATATATATACGATGAGAAATAAATAGTAACAAAAAGAAATGAAGGCATACTCGTCTAGATAATCTCCGATGTTTAATTTCAGTATCATCATCAGTATCGTGTTGATTATCATATAAACGTTCAATTAATTTCATATAAGCCAAACAACGTAAATATTTTTTCTTAAATTCTTCATCAATAACACCATGTGTCGTACTTATATCTGATGATTCTGATGGTGAACGACGACGTGCTTCACGTTCAGTACGATTATAACGTTTTTCAGAATAATATTCACGACGAACATCATCACGTTGATCATCTTGAATATTATTTGATGTTGTTGTTGTTGTTGTTGTTTGTTGTTGTTGTTGTTGTTGTTGTTCTCGTATACGTTTATCCTGTTTTTCCTGCAAGAATTATGTTGTGTCTGATGGAAAAAATATGAAGGGAAGGAAATGTTTATGTGCAAGTTCTATTTATGTGTTCTATCTACTAAAACTAGTTTTAATCAAATCCATCAACCGTATTACTAATTAGCACAAAAATATTATATTTTCTACGAAACAAAACAACCAACCTGTATGACACGAATACGACGTTGTAATTCTTCAAAATTTCGTGTTATATTTTCAATATCAGGACCAACAAGTTTGCTATATGTTTCACTTTTTGATACAAGATCTTGACCAAGATTAAGTATTTCATCAAGTTGAGTTCGTACACTACGTAATTCTTCTTGTACTTGCTAAAAAATATAATTCATATATATACATTATTAGGTTTTAATTTCTACTTACTGATATTCTTGTTAAATCAAGAACACGTTCGGCATCCGATAAAAGTGAATCTAATTTTTCCAAACGTATTATTATTTCTTTATATATTTGAGTAAATCGTTGATAATCATCTTCTAATCTTCGTACTTGACCCTATTTTAAAAAGAAATACATATTTTTTAATTTATTTTATTGAACACGAGAAATTAACTAACAAAAAAATAAAAATCTGATTAAAATAATACCTTACGTAAACCAATAGGATATATAATATATTCAACAGGAGAGAGAGTTGTTGATGATGATGCCGATATACCTGATGATGAATCATATCCAGATTCAAATGGAATATAAAGTAAATTATGATAACGACGTGATGGTTCAGAATGTGATGACGTCGAACGTATGACGCCACTCCTCATTCTGTCCTCGTCGTTTTCTTATTCTGAAGACAACAATAGATCTACCAACGATATCATTTGTAAATAAGGAGAGACAGAGAAAAGAAAAGAAACTTAGGCTGATGATAACAAAAAAAAAGAGCATAATCCATAATTTTGGTTTAGTAACACCTATTTATCTACTGTCCTCATCTTTCTTCGCCATCGATAGGTGGTGATAGTAGAAGAGACGAGAAAAAAAAGACTTAGCCAAGAAATCACAAGGAGAAAAGATATTTATATGATTCGTTCACGCATATAAGCAAGACAAGTAGGGGGTGATTGATGATGATGCGGTAAACAAGCTTGAATACTTTATATAAACATAGAAAGAGAATGATGGCGTTGTTATTTGCATTCTTTGCTTCCCACCCAACTAGTCTCGTCATTGGATAGATGCTAGGCTGTTGACAAGCATAGTGTGTGAGTAGGAGTTTAGGAAATATCAGAGATAATTAGCAAAGAAAATTCAAGGTTGAATCACTACTACCCGTTGTATGAGACAAAATACAAGTCTATATTCTTTTTCTTAAACGATATTATATTATAGAACATATAGATGATATAAAGAACGACGATGTGTATAGCGATGTCAGCCAAGAAATAAGACAGTGATATTTTTGGGAAGCGAGAAAGAGAATAGATGTGGTTTTTTTGTTTTCTATGTTGGCACTAATGGATATAAATCGTTAAGGAAAAAAAAAGTGCATACGATAGAAAAAGAAAGAGAAGCAACCAAATGAGTGTACAGTACTGCGGGAAAGAATAAAAAAGAACGAGAAACCACAGCGTAGAAAATCGTACAAAGAAAATACGTCGACTCCTTAAAGATAACACTACTACTCGCTTGCTTGCTCTCATTTGCGCTGTTCGTCCGTCAGTGAATGACATACACACGCGTCGATGCAAACAGACTCTCTCTTTTCTGTGTTTCACGCCATGTTTGATTATATCCATAGATGTATCTCAATCTAGACATCGACGAATGTTATCATCGTCTCTTTACTTATATTCTTACAAAATAAATCATCTTGTATACTATTGATCAGACGCTTTCTTTCTCTACTATAACAAACTTTTTGATCATATATATATATATATAGATTGATATAGCGAACGGCTGTTCTTTTTTTTGCTTCTGTTCATTCATATGATTTTTTTTCTAATGATAAGTTCATTTATTTCAAGGAATCGGTCAACTATATAATTACTATGTCATCAAGAAAATACAAACATATGGATAGCACTTGTTCATATTACATCAATATATACTCGATGCTAAAATTGATGACAACTGTAGGTTATTTTATCAATACTGAGTTATTCAATATTAGAAGGTTAGATATTAATGTATAAGATATCTAAATGAATAATAGGTTTTTTTTTCTCTTTGTGCTTATTATTACCTCGACAATATCGGAACGATCTTTAAGTCTTCTATCCAATTGGTCAATTTGTCGTTTTAATTCACTTATTTTTTCATGAAGACTAGGTATTAATCTTTCAGCATCTTTTTGTATTGTACGTTCTAAATTTCTTAATACTTCAAAATTAGCTTCAAGTTTTCTTATATCATTTCGTGTTGTCTAAAGAAAATATTTTGAAAAAAAACAAAACATTTTTGTTTTCTTTTCTTAAAAAAAAAACATACTCGTATCCAATCAATTTCTTCTTTAGTATTTTTTGATACTTGTTTATTTTCTATTTTACGTATTTCATGATCAGCTTTAACAAACCATTCATGAATATGAGAATATTCTTTACGAAATTTTCGTAAATGACGTTCAACATTATCTAATTGATTTCTTGATGTTGATACCTAAAAAAAAAAAAAATTGATACATATGTATTTTTTTAAATTATTTTTGATTTAAATTTGCAACTATACTTTAGCTCCAAGAGTATTATAAGTTGTTTTTAATTGTTCCATTTGTCTTATCAATTCATTTGATTCATCTGTTTGTCCTTTTTCAACAATACTACGTCCAATACGAATCACATATTCAACATCAGATTTAATATCAGATAAAGTTTTATAAAGTTTCTAGTAAATTATTAAATTAAAATATATGTATATTCGAATTGAAAGATAATGAAGTTTAATAACTTACTAAACAATGTTCTAATTGATTATGAATTACATCTGGATCATCAGAACGTATTTCAAGTGTATACATATTTTGTTCAACATCATATAAAATTTGTCGCATTTTAGCATATTTTGGTTCAAAATCAGATGGTTTTTGAAATTGTCGAAATTTACTTTTTAATTGAATAAATTGATTCTTAAAAATAAATGAATATATTTTAATATTTCGATCTATTACAATTCTAATCATCATTCTTTTATCGATATCAAATTTTCAATTGGCAAATAATCAAAACCCAAAAACAAAAAAAAATTAAAATTCTTTTTGTTTTTATTTGAATATTCTTCTTGTAGACATTCTATAAATAACTTCAAAAGAACGAAACAAATTTGTTTTCTCTTGAATTTCATTTAGTGTTACTAATTTTCAATGAAATGTGAGAGAAGTAATAGGAAGCTGTGAAAGATAAATTTTGCAGAATCTTATCAGTATTTACAATTAAAGTGCAAACGGAACATTTCCAGATGGTTCCTTGCCTTTGAGCTCATCTATTTACCACCGAGTAAAGGACATCTAGATAAGAATCATTCCCAAATGGATGCGTGCTGTCACGAAGATTTGATGAAGATATCGAATTTCGCACTGAAACTTTGCTTGAATATATATCTTGTTTATAAAAATAAATTTCACAATGCTTAAGTATCGCATCTAAGAAGATATATCTGAAGAGGGAATATAATCAACTCTCGAATGTCATTCAACTTCATACTTTGATGCTATGAATCGATCTTGGTAAGAGTAACACAAGCTGGAGAAGTATTCAAACTCATAACCTACTGATAAGGAACTATACTCGTTTAAATGAAATTTTTATTCAGAGCAAAGCATTTCCGAGAAATCTATAAGAAAAAGTTTCGATCTAAAATATTGTCTATAGGCGGCATGTGCTTGTTTGATTGTGTCAACGAAAATAAACATGTCTTTTTCAAGATATTCAATATCTAAAAAAGCAGTGATTTATGATATGAGGACACAATAATCGAATCTACTTGGAAATTGAATAGTGCGAACAAGACATGTTTATTATTGTTGAAACTTTCAAGCTTATGAAATGACTATCAACTATGCCTATAGGCAAAATTTAAGATTGAAATTCATTGTTTTGAATTTTTCGAAAAAAATCTTTCTCTCGATAAAAAAATTCACTACACCAGTTAAAATGCTTTATTGATAGGTGATGAATCCGAACCCTTTTCAAGTTTGTGTTAGTCTCAGTGAAATCTACTGGTAGTCATAATAGGAAGTCAAGGACATATAACAGTTGGATATATTTCTTCTTTAATAAGAGCATGCATCCATTGAGAATTATTCTAATATAATAATCTTTTACCCATTGATATATAAATGAGCTCAACAATATGATATCATCCGGGGATTTTTTTTCATCATCAGAAGTTACCGATAACAATTAATTGCTATTTAACTAACATAAATCATTATAGCTTCTTCTACTATCTTATTTCATGTATTGCGCAAAAAATTAAACTAAGCTTATAAAGTGAATAGTAAATAACTTATAGAATTTGAAATCTTTACTTTTAATGAAATAAATTGTTGTTCAAGTCGTTTAGCAGCATCATGTTTTCCTATGATACGTAATGAATGAATTTTATCTTCAATAGTACGTAAAAATGCTTCATATTGATTAAATTCAACAGTTAATTTCTATTAAAAACAAAAAAAAAGAAAATATATAATTATTTATTTATTTTTTTCTATTTCTTACATCAGCTTCACTCGGTACATCACTAGCATAAACAGCATCTTTTAATCTTGAATTAAGTATTGCATCTGTATGATTCATCCATTCAAACATAGCTGTTATTTGATGTCTTAATTGTTGATAATCAGATATTTGAGAATTAAGTGCATGAATTTTTTTTGTAACCTTAAATAAGAAAAAAAAAAAATGTTAAAGAAAAATTTTATTTTTTGATATTTTTGATGTTACATCTTCATGTAATTGATCCCAACGAATACGAAATTGATTTATTTGACTATTTATTGTTGGTATTGATACTTTCATTATTTGAAGACGATCTGATATTTCAAAAATTTTCTCATAACTAACTGTTGAATGAGTTTTAAGAAAACGTTCGAGACTCTAATAAAAAGAAAAAAAACGTTTAATAACACAGAATTTTTGTTATTTTTAAGGATTTTACATCAAGTTCTTCAGATGCATCTTCGAGATCAACATTAGTATTTCCTGTTGTATAGATTCGATTTTGTAATGTATCAAGCCAAATATTTTCATGATAAAGTAAATCTAATGAATATTAATAAAAACAAAATATATATGAGTTTGAAAAAGGACAACAACAATAAATTACCTTTAAGTTCTTCATATAATTTATAAAGATCTGTATAAAATACAACTTTATTATCAACTCGTTTTTGTAAATTCGACCAATTTGAAATAACTGTATCGATTTGTTGTGCTAATTCAGGTGAGGATTGTTCAATTAAAGTTCGCACAGTAAACTCTTTAAGAGTAAGTTCCGTTTGAAGTCTCTATTAAAAGAAAAAAAATAACAAACTTATAGAATTAAAAATATTTTAATAAAAAAAAAAAAAAAAAACTCAATGATTTTACTTGGTACTGTTCAAGTCGTTCACGTATTTGTTCATGATAAAATATTGATGTATCATCAAGTAATGTTTCACGTTCTCTATCCATAATCCAATCTTCTAATTCACGAATATCTTCTTGTATTAATTTCGTACGTTTTAAAGCATCCTAAAATATTGTTTAAAACAAACAAATATGAGAAAATGAATTTGAATGAATATATAAGCTCATCAGAATAGTAATCAAATAAATATATATATATATAAATATCAATTTACAATAATGCTAACTTTTTTTTATATAGTTTCATTTTACTTTATATTCGCCTATAGTTAACTTGATACTAGTTAAATACAGTAACAAGACGGTTATATAAATTGACTTTACGAGTAACGGACAATATAGATAATTGTATCGATAAAAATAGCCAATAGGATTGCTATCAGACCACACGATTTTTCAATGTAAGACACGGGTTGTTATGGTAAATTATAACCAACTCACTCATGCTATCTAGGTTTTAAATGCGAGTATAGCATAAAAATTGCCGTATCAATCATGAATATGATACTGATTAATAGTTACAAGTTGATTATATTTATCTAGTCCGCAATTGTGTCTAATAGAAAAAAAAACACTTTGGTTTTGTAAAGTTTGGGTCCAGTCTCAAAGATTAATTAAATATTTGAATGAGGAATTTCGTGTCGTTTTGACTTATTCAGCAGAGAAGAGATGATCAAAGATAAGATCTGGGATGGTGAACAATACATTTACTCAAAAAACATCAATGATCATTATAATTGTAGGTTTTAATTTGTGAAAAATCAATCTATTTTCAATCAAAAGATCATATTGTATTTTCCTAGTGATTATTAATACAATAAAAGCACTAATTGAAATTTTTTGGAAATAAATCGTTTTGATTTTTCAAGTTGTTATCAATTGACTAAACATTCAGTCTCTACTGATATTATTTGCAGAAGACCCATTATGAAATTTTACTTTCTAGGTCTTATAGACTCAATAAAATCTTACAAATTCCATTTATGATGCTCTTATCACAATCTAGAATGTCGGTCACACAAGGTTAACATTAAGACGAAAACTTATCAATACAGAGATTGTACAAATATTTTTTTTTACTCATACTCGTAAAAAAAACATTAAATCGAAATAGAATATCTCCTTTATTTTTTTTTCTTTTAGGAAATTAAAAAATTAATAATAATTAACCTGTATATTTTGTGAATAAGTTTTAGTTGAACTAATAAAATGACTCCAACTTTCATTTAATTGTCGTATTTCTTCTCTTAAACGTCTTGCTAAATTTTCATCAGCATCTCGTGTTAACTCAATAATATCTCTATTTAAACCATTAATAATTGTTTGCATGTCACGTATTTCATGTTGAAGAGTCTAAATATATGAACAAAAGATTTTAAAAAAATTCTTCTTTTCTTTTTTTTGTTTATATTTTCTTTTTACTTGACTTCTATCCATTTGATTTTCTAATCCATACGAAGTTGTGTCACTCACTAAACGTGTCTGAGCATTACGTATCCAAACTCTAACTTCTTCGATTCCACTCTATGAAGAAAAAATAGAATAAGAATATAATTTGAACATAAGATTCTAGGCTTGTGTTTTTTTTTTTCTTTTTACTTCAAAATCATTTAATGTTTTATCAAGATTAGTAGACTTTGTTAAACGATCACTTAAAAACATTTTAATATCATTTAAACGATCACGATAATTAATTAATTCTTCTTCTAAACGTCGAGAAACATCAATAGTTAATTTAGAATAATATTCATTAGCGATTTTATTTAATGATTCTAAATGATGTTCTTGTTCAAATGTTTGATCAAGTAAATCTTTATAAACTTTTTTTTTCATATGAATTGCATGAATATTAATAACACGAGCTTTATCATGTACTAATTGTGGTTCAACATATTCAAGCCATATACGTAATTTACGTTGAGTATCAGTAAATATTGTTGGTAATATTGACGAATAACTTGTGTCTGTTAATTTGTCATATGAATAGAAAAAAAAACAATGCAAATATTACTTTTTCTTATTAATCTTATTCATACAAAAGAAAAAAAGAAAAAAGAAATCAACAATATGGAAATAGGTCCCCTTAGAGAAATTTCATGAATATCAAATAAATAAATCATTAACCCGAAAAAAATATTGTTCAGGTTAAAACAAAGAATGCATTCAAGACAAAAAATAATGTTTAAATATAGCCTACCTTGAACACATCTTATTGATGATGGACTTGTTGTTTCATAATTATGTTGATAAAGTGATGATTCGTGACCTCCATTTTGACCATAATCATATGTATCAGTAGCACTAGTACGTATTTTTCGTGTAACAGACGATGAGTGACTTTCACGATAACGTCGTTCGTATTCGCTATCTTGTTGTGATGAAGGCTGATCAAATACTTCAACAAATGATTTTACACGATATTTATCTGGTTGTACATCAGAGGAACCATTATTATAAGATCCATCATTACCACCAAATGTGTAAATATTTGTTAAAGTAAAAACACTACCATTTTCACCAATGGATGGACCTAGATTTGTTGTTGTCGTTGTTGCTGTTGATGATGATTGTTCATTTATTTCTGATCGAATAGGACTTACTGGAATTGATGTAGTACCTGTTTGACGAAACGATGTTGCAGTTGAACTAGAAGTTATTCCTGATGTCTGCTGTTGCATATGTTCGACAGGAATAGTTCGCTCACCTTTATCAGAAAAAAAATAATTTAGTAGAAGATAAGAAACCACACATAAGACTATATTATATTCGATAGATAGAACTATCGTATAACAAATGTTTGAATAAGCAAAAGAAAATACATCATATTAATATGTATGTGTGTGTATGCATGGGAAAAAAAACAGCTAGTAGAGCTAGGCTAGAAAACAAGAAAATAGCATAGACAGGCAATCAGATATAGAACTGACATCAACTATTACCCTATAGTAGCTCCTAAACAAGGCAGAAGGACCTGCTCGTTCTTCATTTGTCCTTCTTCATCTTCCACTTCTTCTTTTTTTACTAGCCAACAAAGTGACACAGCTACATGTCGTCGCCGTCGAGGCGACATACAAAAGAGCATGCATGGATGTTCGTATTGAAGAATGACATCGTGCAACAGATGACATGGATAGAAAGAAAGAACTTTCTTTCTCTCGGGTTTTTTTTTCTTTCTTTTACTTGTTCGCTTGCTAGGACGGAGTAAAATTCGAGCAGCATCGTTTGCACACAAATATGTGCTCGCGCACACACACACACACACACATAGACAGTGTGAGAATAAATCCAAATTTACTAACGACAATCTCACTCTCGCGTTCGCTTGTCTTATTGTCCTTGCGGTTTCTTTTTTTCTATGTCGTTGTCGCGCTCTACGCTAAACGATCATGTACACCGTTGACAATTCCGATCATGGCAATGACGATGTATATATATACATGAATGTATGCTATTCATATACGTTGATTAGTCTTATACATGTTCAACATCAAACAATATCATGAATACTTGTGCCTATATGCAATAGCGGTATAGAAGAAAAAGAAGAGAAAAAAAGTAGAAAGGCTATGTAATAATTTGTGAACTAAAGAATACTGGTCAGGAAAGATAGTCTCGTTTTGTCCTCTTCCTTCCTTCTTTTGTTTCGGTCAGATGCATTGATGGTGACCTGAATGCATGCTCACATATGCACACTCATTATGCCGCCCCTTAATCAAAGGCAGATTTGTGATTAAAGCAAAGCTAAACAAAACCTGAATTATGAGGAGGAGGTCGACGGTGAATAACAAACAAGTCACGCGCAATATATGTAAGAAAAAAAAAATTAAACGACAATGCAAATATATTGCTACTTACGTAGTCGAGAATGTGTGTCATCCCATGAACGTAACAAATCATTCGTACGTTGAAAAGTATTCGTATCAAAACGATCAGCCATACGCTTTAAATGAGCAAGACGTTCGTTATATGTTTGAAAACTTGTTAATTTTGCCTATGAAAAAGAATAAAAAAAAAACGAATTATCTTTCTAATTTTTCTTAATAATAAGAAGAAAAAAATCATTTCTGTTTTTTCAGCTCAAATTCAAAAACAACATCGAAAAAAGTAACGAACTTGAGATAGATATAATCAAGGTTTCTTACACGTTTCGTCAGTCCAGTATGTATACAAATATGGTAAGGTGAATGAAAATGCAAATAACTATTTATAAGTAACGTCTGTATATATGTGCATGTCCCATGAAAAAGCGGAGAAAATGTACGATTAGAGCGATGAGTAGAAAAAAAAAAGCGTTTTTGTAGTAGTGACTGGCTGACTGACTGACTGACGAGAAAAAATGTAAATGACAGGAAAGAGAAAAGACGAGAATATAAAAAAATAACAAGAAAAAAAAAACCGCACTGTTGTTGTTTAAACATTTTCGATTGATGATTGTTGATCATCTTTTCTTTTCTCTTTTAGTTAGGGATAATAATAATAATAATAATAATAGAAATCGAACCAATACATGAGTAGAGAAGAAAAAAAATCGATCAAATCATTTATTATTTCTTTCGATTTGATCGATTGTTGTATACTTTATGTATTTTTTTTCTTCTTATCTAGTTGCCTTGTATTTCTATGATATTATCAAACTCTTGTTGTCGATTAAGCGAAGATATCATCGCTCAATCATCCGTCTTATATCAGTTATCGAGATATACATATTACGTTATGTGTCGTTCGAAAAATAACCATTAGAGAAACTATCTTCACACCATTAAATCTATACCAACAGGGAAAAGAGAAAAAAAGGGCAACACCTGCCAATTATCGAATAACTTATTGGTACATTATGTGTACATGTACATGTTCACTTGATCTATATGTATGATGCAATATCATCTATCATCAAATTAATATTATTTTATTCTAATTAATGGTACCTGATATTCAGTATTTGAACTAGATTCTGGTGTTGAATCAATCCATGTTTGATATTCATTACGTATTTTAGTTAATGTTTGAATTTCATCATTAAATTTTGATTGTTCAATATCTTGTTCACATTTAAGGATTTGTTGATGAAGTTCTTGCCATCGATTTTCTAATATATTTAATGTTGTTTCATGTTCACTTGAATCTTCATTTGCTTAAAGGAAGAAAGAAAAAAAGAAAAAAAAAAGGCATTGATCGTACATTAAAAAAAAAGTAAATATTTACCATCTTTCAGTTGTTTTGTTATTATATTTCCCGTTTGAATAAGAACTTTAAATTGATCATCATATGATAGATATTTTGTTTTAACTTCCTAATAAAATGAAAGAAAAAATAAATTTGAAAAAAAAAAAGAGAAAAAAGCGTTTTTTTTTTTTACTTGAATAATAAGTTCACGTTCATTCGATTGTAATTGTTTTGATGGTTTTTCAGCTAATATTCTTTCAATATTATCAATCCAATCAATATATTTTCTTGCTGATAAATCAAAATCTGATTTCATGGTATTTTCTCGATTTATTTTTCGTTTTTTATTTATTGAATCATCTGGATTTTCAGCATTTGTTGTTGTCGTTGTTGTTTCTTCGACAACTGTTGTTGTTGTTGTTGTAGTTTTCTGTGTACTATCATCAGTTGGTTTAATATTTGTTTGAGTATTTTTTTCAAAATTTGAACTCAATTTTTTTAACTAAGATTGAAACAGAAAAATGTTTTATTAACCAAAAAAAAAAAAACAAGAAGAACAAATTTGTTAATTTACTCTTGTCGAACATTGTTCAAGGTCATCAATAAGTTGTGCCCAACGTTTTTCAAAATTATTTATTTTTTCATTTAAAGTTTTTAATTCATTTGATGTTGTACTATCATAAAATGCACTAAGAATTTTTAAACTATTGTCTAATGAAAGAATTGATTGACGTATACCATTCATTTCTGATTCAGTTTTCTATAGATAAACAAATATATTTAAAATAGAATCGATTGGAATTCATTTGAATATCAAACACCAATATATTTTTAGAATATAATATTCGAGAGTATATAGTTTTAGAAATAGAACACTCTTAATCCTTATCTACATCTAAAATATTTGTCTCGTCTGTAATAATTATCTGTTATTTACATTGCGACGAAGCTAGATGTAATATGATCATTTTCTTCCGTAGGAAAGTTTCATCTTTTATTTTTAGCAGAAAAAAAACAAGTTAAAATATGAGTCGATACTGCTTGCCTTAAATGTCCAAAAACATATTCTTTTTTCTGTTTATCAATATTCTAAATACTTCAGTTTATTTACCATACTCATATTGTGGAATAGAAAACAATTTTTCATCAGTAGAAAAAATTTCATGCCACTAGAAACATGATTATATTCAATAGAAAGTACTCAAGTGATTTACATTTATCTGATTGATTCAAGTAACATTGATTGCATTTACTAAAATATATTATCGATTTATTCAAGGACATATGAAATAAAACTCAAATTTGAAGAAGAAAATTTATTTGAATTTCAAATATTCAATTAAATATTCAAACTAATAAAGTTTTTTGGTTTCATATTAATGAAAATTGATATAACATTAATAATAAAAGAAAATTTTTGAAAAAGATGAAATCAAATAATTTCAAATAAATTTTTTTTTTTTTCGATTTTTATAGGTTTGATACACATTGATTATTTGAAATTCATTTTTGAAGGTTATCAATAGAATATTTAGTAAGTTAAAAAGAAAAAATATTTAACTTAAAAACGATATTTATATATGTAGATATAGCATATGATAACTAATTGAAATTTATTTTCTAAGGTTAATGTAGAAAAAAAGAAAAGAAAAGAAAAGAAAAGAAAAGAAAAGGTTGATTACCTGAATAGAATGAACTTGTTGCATAAGTATATCAGTATTACTAATATTTGTTTCTGATTTCATTTTATTTATTTCATCTTCTTTATCTTTTAACCATTTATCAACTTTATCATGATTTAATTCAATTTGTTCAAATTCAATTTTAACTTCTTGTAATTGTATCCAACGAGTATGTACAAAATTACATATATGTGCCCAACGTTCACTTAAATTTAATAATTTTCCTTCGATTTCTGTTGATGTATATGGAAATGTTTGATCTTCATCGTTTGATGATGAATCGTCAACAACAATAATCATATTTTGTAATGATTCAGTTGTAGCTTGTTGACCAACAAGTTCATCTTGTAGTTGAGCTAACTGTTGATATTGTCGATCAATACCCGATAAATTTGCTTCCATTATATCTAAATCTCTTGATATACGTTGTTCGGTTTGAGATAACCAAGCATCAAATGTATCAATTTGATCAATTTGAAGTTTCATTAAGGTTTTATGAAGACTAAAATTAAATAGTAGTTTGTACAAAAATTTTGGAATTGAAAGATTTATATTAGTGTGTAGTCTAGTTAAGTCTGACGAGGGACTATATCTATTTCATTTGATTTCATATTATGACTATAAATAAATCTGTGTGAGACTAAGAAAAAATTGAAAAGGATTTGAACCCATGACATACTGATAAAAAGTTATGATTGTTATAATGAAACTTTTACTAACCAGTAGAAAGTCTTGAAAATCTTCATGAAAACAAGCATGTTTTTCTCAAGATATTCGATTTCCAAATAGAATACATTACTGTGTCCTCCTATGCTAAATTGTAGCTTTTTTTTGAAATTGAATATCTCGAGAAAGATATGTTTATTTTTGTTGTAACATTCAGAACTGTCTAATGTCTATAAAGACTGGCTATAGACAAGTTTTCAGGTTAAAAATATTTTGCCTTGAGTTTATTGAAAATATCTTGCTTTTTTAGTAAAAATTTTATTCGAACAGCCGTAATTATTCATCAAAAGCCATTAGCCCGAAGCGTTTTCAAGCTGTTCTTAGTTTGACAAGGACCTATTCATAACTACAATATGAAGTCGAACAGCGTGCAACAGTTGGGTATGTTCTCTCATTAGGCGTGGCACATTATGACAGAAGAGCGAGTGGAAATGACAGAAAATTCATTGTTTACGTTTCTATCGAAGGATACATTTATACGTTTGCGAAGTAACTTACTCAGATGTACCCTTTCAATTTTAATGTTCTTTTATCTATAAACAATACATAGTATTCTAATAAAAATTCTACAATTTTCTAGACTCCTATTGATATTTGACTACGCTATTGAGTTTTGAATATGTCTATTTTCTAGCGACTCCTAGTTTGTAGAAAACTCAGATTTTCGAATTTTGATCTGAAATACTACGCATATATAGAAATCAATTAGGCTAACTTCAATGAAGAAAAATTAAAAGTTTTGAAAAAAAACAAAAGATTTTTATCCTGAAAGATCCATATCTCAAAGAGATTTTGTTCAAAACTTCTGTATATAAGTTAGTGTAGTTGAGGTCTCTGTATGTATACAGACTTGGGTCGAAATTCGAAAATACGAATTTTCCGAAAATCTGAAGTCTAGAAAATAGACATATTCAAAAATCTGATTTAAATCGACACGAAACTTCTGATGAAATTATCTCGTTTAGTCTAATTTTCACTTGAAATCTGAAGTATAAATAAAAACACTTCTCAGCGTTTCATTTCTTCTTATATTTAATATAAAGTAATTTTATGAAAATCAAACGAAATATTTTTTTTTTACCGACATTTCCTATACGTAATATGATTCAAGACAATTATTTTTCATTTTATAATTGTTGTTTTTCGAATGAAAGTTCAAATGTGATAGCTAACGTCACGATTAAAAACATTTCAAATGTTATCTCATGAAATTGATTCGTACAATCAAGAAGATTCATGATTTAATTGACTGAATATAAAATAAATATCTTACATGGATTGTCTATCGAGTGATTTTGAACGTAATAATTCCCAACGATGATTAAGAGTTTTCATTTGTTCTTTTATTTCATTTTCTTCTCCTGGTGGTAAAGTCATTTTATATGATCTTAAGAGTTGATTTCCATCATGAAGTATATCACCGATTTGATTTTGATCTTTTGTTAAACTAATCATAAATTCCTTTAATAAAATAAAATAAAATAAAAAAAGAAAAACAAATACAATAAGAATAAATCAAAACAAATATATAGAATTGAAATTTTATTTTTACTTCATGATTTTGAAATTGTTCTTTAATAGTTTTTAACTCATTTGATACAGTTTTATCTTGTTTATTAAGTTCATCTTCTAGTTGAAGAATCCATTGAAGTATTTTTTCAATATTTGTTTTAAAATTTTTCAATTGAGTCACATCATGTTCTGGTAGAGACTAAAGAAAATTTTTTTTTGTTAATTAAAAACATGATTTTTCCGTTTGTTTTTTAATCTCTCAAACCTTAATCTCCGTCGTATCATCACTTGTGATCGTCGTCGTCGATGGTTCACTTTTCTCTTTATCTTCGATAACAATATTACTTGATGGTAATTGTTGAAAGAGGCACATTACATACATTAAAATAGATTTTCTATCCGGATAATCAGAGAGAACATCTAAAAAAACAAAATCAATGATATACATTTATAGTAACATATTTCAAATATATATGATTTCAAACCTTCAACATCAAGATATCGGTCAATTTTGAAAACATTTTTTGCTACACTAAATGCATGTTCAAGATTTCTAGCCGATGCATTTTGTAAAAGATCATCATAATCAAATAAATCTGGACGAAATTTATGAATTAATGCATTAAAAGCAAGACCATCTTGCCAACTACGTGTAAAATCATTAATTTCTACACCTTTATATCTAAATAAAAAGAAGAAATTCAAAATTTTATAAGAAAAGATGAAAAATTTTTTTTTTGTTTCTTCTAACCCTTTTGTTTGTTGTTGACACCATGAAAGAAGGAATTTTTCAATATTAGTCTGTCGTGAATCAGGTGCAGCAGATTCAATAACATCTTTGCCTTGCCAATATTGAATAATTGACCATATTAATGCAAGTGTTAATTTTGGATTACCATCAACAATATCATTGGACGATATACTAAGAAGTTTAATCTATGATTAAAAAAAAAACAACGATACTTCTATACTATTTAATAATGATCATTTTCTTTCTTACTCCATGTTCATTAAGTACAGCAATAACTTTATTAACATTTCCAATATGATGTACACGCATTTTACCATTTTCTCTTTTCTATATGAAAAAAAGAAAACTTAAAATTAAAAAAATTATTTTTCTCTATTACATACATATTCATTCCCAGTAAGTACTTCCAATAATCGAAGTAGGACGACACCATCACGTAAATCTTGAAATAAATCTGTAATAGCTAGCGTTGAGCTTGTCTTAAATTATATATATATATATATTAAACACATAATATATAATATAAGAACCAAGAAATAACTTACATTTGCTAATTGATTATTAATCCATTTAGTGAATGCTTTCTTTTGGATATCTTCACGTTCGTCTACAAAATAACGTCGAGTGGTAACCATTAATAATGAGAAAAAAACGATGCATAGTAAAAAATGAAAAAAAAATGTAATAGTTTTCTTTCGATGAAAAATTTTCAATACGATAAAACCAAAAAAAAATCTAAATGATGTATTGTCAGTAGACAATGAATGATTTATAAATAGTTTAGTTTGATACAGTTCAACATTCTTTTTCTGTGCAAATATATATATAGGTAATGATACATCATGATTTAATGTGTTCATCTAATGTCTCGATTCAATGATCAAAGTTTTTCTTTTTTTTTAACATAAAGATTGTTTGCATTAGAAACATACCAATAAATGAGCACGTTGCCTGACAATATATCAAGATTGTTAACTTCAACTGATCAATCAATGATAATGACAAACAAAAATGTACAACTCATCGATCAAAGATCAATCACTATAGATTCATATTTTAAAAAGAAAACTATTAAATGTTTTGTTTTTCTTTTCAGAACACAACTCTCTAAAATAAACAATATCATTTCTTCTTCTTCTTCTTCTTCCTGCTTTGTGTTTCTCTATTACAGACAACATATCATTATTGAACACATTGAAGTTGATCAACTGTATAGTTATCACTAATCAAAACTATGTGAGTGTTAATTTACTTTTGAATCAAGTACACACTAAAGAATATGACTAGTAGATAAGATAGTTGCTTGTCTGTCTATCATTTTTTTTTCTCCAAAAAAAAACGATAACAGTAATAATGAAAAAAGTAATAAGATAGATTTTATGTACATAAAATATATCAATTTTTGACAAAAATTTCTATAATGCTCTTAAACAATACAACAAAAAAAAAACGAAAGGAAATTTCACATATACATATATAGACTCGTGTCCTCATTCAAATAAAGGCCATTGGCAATATAATAAAACATTTCTTCCTTTTAAATTATATGTTTGTTGATTTGGTCACACATACTTTTCTCAAGTAGATGCTATATGATGATAATTCTAGCCATCGGCAAAATCATATATATATACATATAAACAGATGTTTTTTTCGACTTCACAGCAGGAGTCGATTGAACTACATTAGCGATCTTACAAAGAGATATATGCATTGATCAACAAAGATAAAAGAAGTGCTTTCAGTAATCTCAATTTCTGATTATATGCATAATGAAAGCTTCTTTTGCTTTCTGGTTATCATATTATATCAACTAATATTTGACTATGTAAAAATTTTTATCAATGAACTTACATGTAAGATCCTCATCAACAGAACCTAATGGTTCATCCGTGATTGATGAAGACATTGTTAATCGTATAGACAGGTTTTTTGTATCTGTTAACAAGGATTAGCGTGAAGGTCAAGTGTTGGATGAAATTTAATCAATAAGATATTGACTGCCCGCCCACTCTCCTTCGCTCTCAAGCATAGAAAGAGGTCGACGACGACGACGATGATAATAATAATAATAATAATAAAAATAACGAAGATAGAATAGTGGTATTACTTTTTAGCTGACGGTTGGTTATCTCTAATACCACAAAGAAGACATTGCTTTTTTTTCTTTTTCCTCTTCTCTTTCTGTTTCTGTTTTCTTTCGTTATGCGTATTTCACCGCAAGCGGCAATACAAAGATCTTGCCCGTTTTAGTGCAATTTTTGTGCTTCTGTCTGTCTCGTCATATATTCCAACAACATCTACCCCTATCTTTTCATCACTCTGTTCTCTCTTTTACGCTTGTCTGAACTATGCATGTATGTCAAAAGAGAACATCTTCTTTTCTTTGGTTATCAAATAGGATGTGTTACTTATACAACATTATTTCACGTGAGAAACAGTTAGAATAAAGCAATGATAGGAAACAAGATAGAATATAAAGTAATGAACACATTGGAAGTATCATAAAAGAACTGTCCTTCTTCAAGTCAAGGTTATTATGAGAACAATTATTATGTCCATCATCAAACTACATATAATTGACAATAACAAGAGTAAGCACAGAAAAAAAGAAATTGTTATTCTTTCTATACAAAAAAAAAAGGAAAAGAAAAGATATAAATAACTTACATTTTCGGTCACGTATTATCTGTTGAAATTGTTGTGCATCATCGTCATTAACATTACTTGTCATTGTAGTAGTTATTTCTGGTGAATTGTTTCTTTGAGAAGGACTAGTTGACATGATTACAAAATAATAAAAAAATTTGAACTATTCTAATATTGTAGATGTTTGATTATATATAGAGTTTTTTAATGTGAGTCATCATGTGTACTGTAAAATGATTTATATTTTGTTGTCCTGTTTTTTCTCCCACACCTGTAAAAGAAAAAAATATATAAAAAAAACGAACAAAGATCGCCATTAGTATTATTCATGATTTCAAAGGAGGCGAAATATAGAACATGGTATCAAATGAATCAAAGATCTAGGAAAAATAAATTTAGATAAATAAAAAGAAAAAGAATGAGGTTTTTTTTTAATAATTTTTAATTTAAAATAAAATTAAAGATTAATTAATACAAATTTTAACCTTTGTTTTTGTTTGTAGATGTCTCAACCTTGATCGTACAAATGAATTTCAAATTAGTATAGATCTTTTTCTTCATCAATATAAATATTTAAATTTTGTAAGGAAAATGAAAAAACGAACATTCTTATATATCATAAACACCATTAAGATAAAGGCAGAAGTTTTTTTTTTGTATTCTCGTATATAAATAACCAAATACTTAGTATCGATTAAGGAATATTTGAGAAAGTATGTAAAGAATTCCAAGTTGATCTACTCAATGTAAGTATTATAGGGAGAAATCTTTTTTTTTTTTTAATGACTTGCTTTCAATTTCGTATCTGTAATCTCATTCTTCACAAATGCAAATCATTTTTATCTTTGATCTTTTTTATGTGAAAAGAAAAGAAAAGCTACTATTCTTTTCAATTTTGAAGCATATCACCACATGGAGCAGTATGTTAATTTCACAAGTTTAGAACGAATATTAATAATTAAAGACTACTACTGTTCCAATAGTCATTATCGATAGTTGTATGTCAGGGCTCTCTCTCTCTCTCTCCTTTGCTTTCTTTCTGCTGTTCATATTTCGCATGCACAATCAATCGTTCTCGCCCTGCACAGGCATACAATTGGTATTTGCGATCAAGCGTTAAGCTTTTTTTTTTTTAAACACGTACGCCTATCCTTTCATACTCTCATCTTCATTTGCGTAACCATTCGAACGTTGATTCAAAATGTACATATAAGTTCTTGAACTACGAATAACAACATAACTAAAATCACCGGCAATAGACGATAAAAGGAAAAAACGAAGAAGATTGAAGAGTGCATCTATGACGTAACGATATGTATAAGTGCAAATTGCAGCTTCGTAATCTTTCTTAAGGGTGGACGCGCGCATACGCTCACATATAAAAAAATTTTTCTTTGTTTCTTTTTTTGAATATTTTCATTTTGTGCCTTTAGGCAATACATAAGCTATATGTGTAGTGTCTCACATTATTCAAGAGGCTATCAAACAAGATAGTGCTAATAAGAAGCAGAACTGAGAATATATATTAAGCATAAAAAAAAAAACGAAAAAAAAAAAAAATGAAATCTCTTATACACATCAACACTGTATGAATGAAATGTGAGAAGAGGTGGAGTTGGGCGGAACCTTCTACAAAATGAAATATGATCGTCGAAAACGGATAAAAAGAAAAAATATTAAACATCATTCTGTATAATTAAAATTTCAAGATATATCTAAAGAATATTTGTCAATAAGAACTTATAAATTACTAAACAAAATATAAAAATAAAGTATCCTTGAAAATAGATTGTGAGTATGTCATTGTCATAAAGAGGAAAAAAAAAAGAAATAAAGGTTACACACACACACATACACATACAAGTTCTGTAATAGATGATCATAAGCTTTTTGTTAATTTCCCTTGAAAATAAAAATAGACAAAAATTCGGTAAAAGAATCCCAATTTATAAAATAAAAAGAACAAAAAAAACCCCGATAACAATCATTGACACCTGTTGCCTTTTTCTATCATTCGTTAAATATTTTAAAGATAAACTTGTTGTATATTATAAAATAATTATTGATTTGTAAGGATCAAGGAAAATAAAATAATAACAATAAAATTTCAACGTACCTATTCAAATATATATATATATATATATATGTCTAGATGATGAATGCAAACAATGACCCGAAGATTTTTTTACGCTATTCTCTGTCAAGCAAACACGTGTATTTGTACTCTCTATTCTCGTTTTTTTTTTCTTCGACAAGGACAAAGAAAAAAAAAACTGCGGAATGAAAAAAAAAAAGCAACGTTGCCACTACCGTCAAATGCGCTTTAGAATTGACTGAAAACTTTTCTCTTTATTTTTTTTCCTCATTCTCTTTCCTGTTTCTTCACTCTTTTATGTTCTGTTTTTTTGGCATTTTCATCTATTCATTCATATATTTCTCTTCCTTCTTTTCGGCCATTCGAGTGTCGTGCATATACTACTATATAGTAAAAAAAACGACGAAGAAGAAGGATCAAAGTTTGACATAGCCGCCTCTTCTTTCTCTGTCTCATTCGATCGTAAACTAAAGTTTGAACGCGATATGAAGTGATACAAATCACGGTCGACAAACGAAAAGATGATGTTCGTTCACACTATTGTATGCATAGAAGATGACAATTAAATAGGGCTCAATCTCAATATGTCTGTCATACCTTTCTTTCTCATCTTATTATTATTGTTGAGACAATCGCAACGTTTGTATATAATGATACATGAAAAGCAATCAAGTTGAGCTATGTGATCACAGGCGAAATATAATGTTATGAGAATGTTTCTACATATATGATTATTGAAGAAGTTTTATTTGAGACTATCAATGCTTTTATTTTGTTAAGGTAATATAATTATCGATTTGCATGATCTAAAAATAAGATGATTGAATAGATTAACCGAAGTGAATTTGTTAATGACACGAATGTTGAATGCATGAGAAAATAAAAGATAAATGAATTATGAAGTATTTGTTTTGTTACAATGTTTTTATTTTGATTAAATTCAGATAAAAATATTTTCTATAAGTTACTTGAAACTATTGTTTTATTAGAAATTCGAACTGAATTTAGATTATATATATATATATAATGTATATGAATGACAGATGAGAATTAAAGAAAAAAGTTAATCAAAATATTTCTAACGATTTGAAAAGAAAATATTTTTCATTCGGAATAAAAAGAAAAAACAATCCTTTAATTCAAGGATTCTATTACAGACAGTTTTAATGTCTAGTATTATTTAATTCAACAAGTAAAAAAAAAAATCTTGAATTTACGTTTTTTTTTAACGTCTAACTTGATCAATCTTTTTTAAGAAAACAAATTATACTTTTTTTCTAAAAATCATTTTAATATGCACTAATTCTATTTTGTTTATTTAACAATAAGACAAAATTTCACTTTTTTTTTTTGTTATTTAGTTTTTGATAGACTGATAGAAGACCATCACGAAATATATTCAAGAATAAATTTATATATCATACAAATAATAAATGAATATAAACTGAAAATAAGTGAAATTTATATTTTTTATTTATTCAGTTTCTTTTTTGTATATATTGAAGTTTTGAAAATACCTCCGTGAATGATTTTTTTGTATTGATTCATTCAAGTTCGATGATTTTTAACAGTAACTATATGCTTTCATTCAAATATTTCTGCATATTTGAATATGAAATTTACCGTAAGGCTATGTTATTTATTGTTTACATTTAAGATTTAATAATATATCAATATGAAATTATCAATTGTTTATTTATCATTAGTCGTATATATAATGTCAAATAAATTCAATAATATTTACGAATAGTAAATAAATGATTATTGATAGTAACTTATATTTATTAGAAATAAATTTAATGAAAAAAAAAAGATTATATAAGAATTACATATTTCAATATATATATGAAAGAATTGCTTTGGTAAATACATCATGAAAAAAAAAGAAAAGAAACATTTGGAAATCATTTTTGTCAGATTCTTCAATTATAATATCATTTAGAAATAAAAATCAATATATAATTATAGAATAGAGCACATTTCAATAACGATTTTTATCTAAATTTTTCTTTCATATATATATATACATTAATTGAACATTATTATTGACGAAGTCTATACATTGATAAGTGATCTAGAGATATAAAATTAAAGTATATAACTTCTAAATCTAAATATTTAATTTCCATATTTGTTTTTATTATACATAAAAATAATAAATAAGCTCTATATTAAACTATACACTATTCAAGTACGAATAAACAAAATCAAATGATATTTAAATAACCATTTGTGTTAATGTTTCTGTGTTAATATCTTTATTATTGCAATAGAACTCAGTCTTAGACTTGACATTAGTCTAATACAAGGTCTAATTGTTCATCTAGTTTATCATTGTCAACAATCAATTTTGTTTATGATTGTTCAGTCATAAAAAAAAAAAGCTAACATTTTCATCATCAAAAATAATTAATGATTATATTGCAATAGCGCATACTCATGACTTCGAATCGATACATAGTACTATAACAAACATTATGCACTAGAATGGTTTCCATAAAGAATCCTATCAAATAATTATTATTAATACAATTCAATATGTTAATGGATATACAAAAAGTTCTATTTTGAATCCATGAAAATTTACAAACATTTTCATTTTGTAATATTTCTACTGAAATAAATTTATTCAAATTATTTTTTTTTGTTAACAATTGTTATAAATACTATAGTACTAAATAAAAAACAAACATCAAATTTTGATATAAACATTATTCTTTTTTAATCAAATTTTATTTACTATAAAATAAATTCATCTGATAGTAATATACGTAGATAAAAAGAAAAAAGATAATTAATTTCAACTAATGATTCATATTCAAGGTTCATTATTATGTTTTTTTAACATTGAATAGTCAATTTAACGCTGGTTATGGTATATTAAATACCTAGTAACGTGATAGTATAACGATAAATTGATGACTTGCATGCAAATAATTTATGCAAATAGAAAGTATTATAAACATAGTTGTTATCATATTTGAGTTTCTTGACATCAATCATTTATAAATAAATACTACAATTAAAAGTTTCTTAAAACAAAAAAAAAAGAAGAAGGTCTATTTCTTTAAATAATATTGTATGATTCAAGTGATTATTCTTCAACTAAATTAACTATGTTACTCAAGATATTTCATTTGTTTAAAAAACAATTAAGAAAATGTTTTTATCATATAATTAGTTATTAAAACGAAAACAAAAAAAATGAAATTAATTACCAAAATAATGACTTGTTTTTTTTTTTTTACATAGAAGTTTTTCATATGAATAAAAAACTATTAAATGACAGTTTCTTGCTTAATTACTGAGATAATAAGCAAAGAAAAATAGTAGATTTGACACTAACAGAATATAGCATGAACATTTTAATTCAATAAAATATAAAAACATTTGTGACAGTTTTTTTGTTAATAGAAAAAGGATTTTCACACGTTGATATAAAATAAATTCAACGCATTACTTACATGAAAAACATTTGACTATTCTATGGAATGTTGCAAATATGTAGAGACAAAACACTTTTCTTCTTTCCAAAGCTTACAACTAGTTATTTTTGCTGGGATAATGCAATGAAACAACTGGATATTACTATATCTTGACCTTTTCTTCTCTAATTATTTTTTAATGGAAAGATTTCTGGCATTTTTTTTTTCCCCCGTCGTCTCTGATCTCAATAATTATTCTAGTTATATCATTGTTGTATAATAAAAATGTCTAACAACAATCTGTTTGTTATTTCTCTTATATTATAGATGTCATTCTGTTTAGAGAACTAGCAGTTATATCAAATGATTGATCATAGATATAGTCACTTTATTTATAAGAACTAACAGAATATGTTGTAATTTCTTATTTTTACTCATTCAACATGTCTTAACAGCAACTAATTATGTTTATACTATGTATACATGAAATATAATTGCATGTTAGGATACAAAGAGTATAGACAAATTTGTAATGTGAGCTATAACTCCAGTAGTGCCATTAATGTTACAACTACAGTTTATTTGTTTATATTGGTTTCACAGTTGATTTTTATTGTATTATAGATAGTACATTGACATTATAACTTCACCAATAGATTGTTCTTGCAAGTTGAAATAAAATATTATATCAATTACACGTTAATAAGTTGTTGTTCAAATTCAAAGTATAATTATATGTAGTATATCAATATAATGGATAGACATTTTCTCTAAGTGTAAGTGACAGTAGCTCGGATTATTATGCGATTGAAATTTAGCTTTGAGTCAATCATTATGGTGTATTTATTTTCTATGTATGAAAGACTTTGTTTAATGATAAATATTCTGTTGATTTTGTTATTGTTTCGCTTGCTTCTGTTTATAAAAAAAACATATATAAGTGTTTTTATTGAATGTTTGAGATGTTGAAGTGTATTGTTAATAAATAAAATTGTTGTATATACAAACTAAAGGCAAAATGTTTTATATTTAAGAGATTAAATAATCATGTAGAATTGGTCTTCATAATATTTAGTTGACAAGAGATGATATATATCAAATTGAATATATCGCTATTAAATACATTGACTTCTCAAACATCCATATCGTAAAAATTGAGATTGTAGTGTAAGAAACGATTTTTCAAGAATCAATGATACATCGAATTTAATCACTAGTTTTAATGATTGTAAATTGTCATTTAACTATAGAAAATACATTAAGTGTATAAAATTGACAGTGAAATATAATTTCAAAACATTTTTGTAAATGTATATATATATATATACAATTATGACATGAAAAGAAATATTTAATTTCGACACGGATGTCACTACTATGACATTAATAAGATTGGACAGGTTTAGAAAAAGATTCGCTTTCACATTCATTTACACTAAAAAACATTTTTCTTTTTAATTAATATTGATAATTTTGATATGTTTTGAGATTAAGAAATTTTTCAATTAGAATTTTTCAATTTTTAGATGAGCTCTTCAATCGTACATTAATGTTAAAGTGGTAAAACTTTTCTTTCTTATTTAAGATAACTTCTTCTATCGTCACTCGTTTAATCTTGCTTTTTAATTACGATTTCTAATCTTTCATTTGTTTTAGATATTTAATATATAAACAAAAAAATGTATATACATGGAATGACTTCAGAAAAAAAAAATCCAATTCGCAACATCAATTTAAATATATGAACTTTTTTTTAAATGTGTTTTTTTTTTAATTGTATTTTTATTAAATGAGACGTGATGGCATGTCGCATCATTTTTTTTATGTTTATTAAATGTTTTATTCATGTAGAATAAAATATAAGCAGTATATTTTTAAATAAAAATATTCATCATCACAAATTATTAAGAGTGTAGTTTCTCAATATAACAATAGAAGTTGTGAGATTACATGAATAAAATCATTTTTGTTCTCAATATAATAAAGAATAATCATCAACTATAAAACTGCAATGTATCACACATATAGTCAGATTCAGCGAAACAAAAATTGTCGATTTATTGTATTTCAGTTCACGATTATTGTTTCGATATATGATGGTTAATCGTCTATTTTTAAGCGATTTCGAGGACATGGATAATTTCATAATATGATTTTCTCATTATGGGTTTTATTTTCGATCCTATCTAACTCAACAAGTCAAACTAATATTAGATATTATGTATATATCTTTTAGTAAAAATATTTAATTTTTGAATAATTGTTTTGATTTTAGAAAATTTAAAAACAAGTTGATGTCAACAATGAATTTATTCAACATATCACGAGTTCGTTCTATGGTATCTTTATTTTATTCGTGTCCATACTTTACCGTTGATTTAAAATGTCACGTAAATACACCTTGATAAATATATATCCACCAACAATTCGTATTTTTCTTCATAAATTATTTGTCGATGAATAACTTACTCTTTTATCTACTTATTTTATTTAACGTTTCACAATATCAATGTGAGACAGCATCATGCAGGTTTACTTTGTTTGTATAATAAGTCATTCATTTCTTTCAACTGATATTGTTTGTTTAAGAACAAATTGCACAACAAGTGAAGAATGTTGGCGTGAAGCTTTAGTTTATCGTTCATCAGAATTAATTGAACGATTATTTTCATTTAGTAGTCTTTCTCTTTATATCGATACATTTCAACGAAGACATTCCCACGAAGTTTGTACTAAATTTCCTTTTTTTTTTCTTATATTAATATATTCGATTATTGACATAGTTAAATGATAGTATATTATTTGTTGACAATGCACTTGAAAATCATTTAACAAATGAATCAATCGATAGTAATCTAAATATAAATTTATTTAAAACATCAAAACAACTTCTTATTGATTTAGTAAAATAAATATTCTTTTAATAATATAAGAATTTTAATTTGTTTTTTCTTTTTTTTTTTTTTTTTTTTTTGTAGTGCACCAATTTAACATCAAAACCAATTGAAACAATTGACGAACTGCCAACATTAATGTGTTCATTATCAACATGTTCTTCGAGTTTAACAAATTTTATGATACTTTTAATAATTAGTATACTCATTGCTAGTTTAATTCTTCTAATTTGTTTCGTTCAATCTTTTCAAACATATCGTCGAGTACGTTCTTCAAAAATAGCTTCACCACTTGTTCCAGCTTCGAATCCGTTGGCAATAAATAATTCATCTATTAATTTGCACTCTTCCAATGTATTATAACTATAAACAAATAAAAATGAAATACTTTAACATTTTAATCATTCATTTAAAATATTTAAAAAAAAAAGTTTCTTTTGTTGTGAATTTTAGATTTTAAAAATGCATTGGAATATCGGAGTGAGTTCGATATTTCTTTGTACTATAATACTTGTTTTTGGACATCGAGATTTATTTGAAAAAAAATGCAAGTAAGAAATTATATTAAAAGTTTTTTTTTTTTGCTCTATTTACGAATTATTACAAGACGAAAATGTAATACGGCCGACGGCTCAGTCGAATGCTGGAGAGAAACAACAGATGGTTTTGCTTATGGTTTATCTACAGCTATGATTGATTTTTGTCAAGTAATACTTAAAATTCGTCACCTTAAACATGACACAGTAAGTGATATTTTCCTTATGTTTCTATTAACCACGGGTGTCTTTTTTTTATTGACATAAAGCAAACGTGGTATAATATTAGTCGTGAAATACTCGCAGAACAAATTGAAAAATATGAACTTGATGAAGAAGTTCAACAATTAACAAAAGAAAATATCGAACAAATTGCTATGTCTCTATTAGATAATGTAAGTACTTCTCACTTCTAATATATAATTTTGTCATTATTGTCATTAGTGTTTTTATGCTTCATCATCTGTTATTTCCTCTGAACCATCATGTCCATCCTGTTCAGAAGCACAAACAAAACTAATGAAAGAATGGGGTATTGCATCAATAATTATTATCTCAGTTGGTTTATTACTTTTTTTTATTATTTTACTTTTATTTGCTGCCTATATTTATTATACTCGTCGTTCATATGTATCAATTAAATAATAAATAATTCTAATATTGATTATCTAAAAGTTTTTTTTTCTGTTTTTCGAAAAAAAATATTTTCATTGTTTCCAATGGAAATTAAAAAAGAAAAGAAAAATCCAACGTCCATGAATGGTATTTGTTGTTTTTTTCTTCTTGGCAAAAAAATAGAGCGCAAGTAAAAGGGCACGAAAAAAAAGAAAAAAAAAGAAAATTACGAAATAAAGAAAACAAAAAAAAGAAAAAACGAATAAGTTGGGACAAGAGAAAAGAAGAAGTTTGTTGAATACGTGGGAGAAGAAGAATAAAGGCATTTTTATACATTTCCTTCTGCTATTCACATTCAAAATTAGGTACAACAGCATCTTCTTTTATTGTCATTTCATCATGATTATTATTATTATTTATACTACTATTATTATTATTTAATACAAGTAAATCTTCATTAATTATTGAATTTGTAATTGATATATTCATGGATAATGTTGATGCACTTCTATCACCACCGAACCAAACATGTCCAAGTATATCTTGAGTTAAAAGACGTTCTTCGGGTTTAACACGAATTAATGATCGAAGTAATGAACGTGCTTTTAATGATATTGTACGAGGAATATCAGGACGACATCGACCAATTTTAATAAATAAACCAACTAATGTTCGATCACAAAATGGATAACGACCAAAAAGCATTGTATAGAGAATAATACCTAAAATAAGGAGTTTGTTTGTTATTTACACAATCATAAAAAAGAAAGAAGCGGAAGTATTTATGAGTACCTAAACTCCATGAATCGGCCATTTTGCCTGAATACATTTGTCTATTAAGAACAATTTCTGGACATGCATAAACCGGACATGAAAAACGTGACGATACAAAATCATCTGTTGTTGTTGGAGTTGATAACATAATGGATTCATCAATTCCAGTTAATAATAAATGTGTATTTGTATTATCATTAAAAATAATTTTACGTAATTTTAAATCACGTACAATTAAACCAACACGATGACATATTTGTACAGCACGTACAATTTGAGAAAATAAATTTCGTGATTCATTTTCATTTAAACGATGTTTTTCAGTTATATATTGATGAAGATTATTTGTATAATTTGGATATAAAACAATAGCTGTACGATCAAGTGATATAATATCACGAAAAAAATGTATATGATATTTATCAGCTAATTGTTCAATTGTTAATTGTGAATTTTTATTTGATAATTGTAATATTGTTATAAGACGTTGATAAGGTTCTAAACGTTGACGAACAATTTCAAGTGAAAATTCTTTATATAGTAATGCTTCACCAGTTGGAATATGACGAGCACATTTAAAATCATCTAATTTTGTTTCACTTAATTCATATTCACCGATAGTACGAATTGAAGGTAATAATGGGAGATTTGTTGTAGCTAAGGCAGCAAATGGATTATGAAGATGAATAGCATCTGGTGTAAGAGGACCCGATGAATCAGTTGATTGTGGAAATGGAGTTGATGGATTGGAATTTCTTGGAGATGAGGATATTTGTGTTAATAAAGGTAGATCATCATGTTTAGCGGATGATGAATGATGTGATGCTTGAGACGAAGAAGTAGTAGAAGAAGAAGAAGACATTTTATATGGAGGATTTTAAACAAAAAGAAAAATAAAATAAAAGCAAACAATGAAGTAAAGAGAGTTAATAAAAAATAAATAAAAGATGATTAGAATTGTTCACTAATATCTGACTTCAGTATCGGTGAAATTTCAGTTGCAGCATTACTAAAATGAAAAAAAACAACAAGATATTATCTAATTAGTTCGACTAGCTAAGTTTACAAATAAACATAACATATAGAGAAGAAGAAAGAAATAAAGAACAAGGAAGAAAAGAAGGTATTGTTGCGAAATCAAACTACTATTGCGCAAGTCATCGCCAAGTCCGAAGCATGGTTGTTCAATCGTTTGCTAAAGTTAGGGACGATGGCTTACGCAACTCGTTTCTTTTTTTTTTTTTTTAGTTCAACTCATGTAAAAGGAAAAGAATTTACTTTGTTCGTTCATTATCAAACAGAGACTTATTCAAGGATATAAAAAAGAAAGATATTTCATCAAATGAATTTCTTTCAATTCTTTATGCAATAATTTTTATTAAATTCTACTCATTCTTTCGATTTATGTAATTATGTTGTTTAATTTGAAAAAAAATCAAGAGAGACTCACATATACATTTTGACAATGCCTTTTGTCTATCCAATAAGAATATTAGTTAGTTGATAATGTTTATCTTAGTTGTTTTCCGTTGGCACACATCTGTTTGTGGCAGTATGTATGTCCATGACCTTCCATTCGTACATCAAGTTGGCAAGGACATTGTCTCGTTCATACCTTCTTTGGATTTTTTTTTCTTTCTTTCTTTTTTGTCAATGTTTGATTGGCATTAAACATTCACACTTTATAAAGAGAATCTACTTGTTTCTAATAGATTTTATATCAAGTACTCGATGAAGATACGATGCATTGAGGTTAATCAGAACGAAGAAATAGAGAAGAACATAATGAACTAAGAGCACAATATGACCTTACCCATTTTCAATCTCGTTTGTATTTACAAATATGCCAGAGCCAGAAAAGTGAGTAGCAAAAAGTCCATAATATAAAACCGATTTAGCCAAAGATCCAGAAAATTTTGAAGAGCCGGTTGAGTGTTTAGATATATTACATGCCATTCTTATAACGTATCAATAATACAAAATAAAAAATTTAATTTAAATTCTTTTCTATATGTATTTACGTCAGCAAATTTTGCAAACTAAGTTTTTTTTCTTTTATTGGCGACTATTGTTTTCTATGTAATGTCGTCTCTTTTTTTTTTGTAATGTGCGCGTGTATAGACTAGAAAGCGAGAAAGAATGAATTTATATAGCGAGTCTATGGCGTAGTTCTCTTTTTTTATATTCGTTCTACAAAGGAAGAAAAAGAAACCACTACAACCAACATTAGATTGACACGCAATATTAACAGCGAACCTCTTTTTTTTCCTTCTCTTGTTACCCTTCTCCGCCTCTTTTTTCCCCATTTCTCATTTTTTTCCTCTCTCTCTCTTTCTCGCTCGTTTGAAGTTATAGAGATTGCAGCAAAAGGATGACGACACCAAGCGTCATCGTCATGTTACCCATTTACCAACTACGAAACGATAAACAACAACACAAAGGAAAAATATTCACAGAGACACACGTGTATAAAGCAAATAATACAGAATGACGACATGTCAAATGCTTTTTAAGGCGCAGCAGATTGTGTTTAGGAAATGAGAACGATGCAGCGTTGCCTACACAAACATGAGTCATGATTATAAAAATCATGATGAAGCGTTTCTTTTCCAGCTTCATGTTTAGTATTGATAGTGTAACGAGTCATATTGTATCAGAAGGATGAACAAATTTCATCATCTGTTGCGTTAGTTTTTTTTCTTTCTGTAGTTAAAATGAGTAATTTCAAGTGTCGACGTCATCTATTAAGATATGATCATGGTCAAGATTTCGGACATTATCCAGAAAGTTATCTATGATATTTTTAATACAACAATCGTTTGCATATCATTTTATGTAGACTATGTTCTCATTAAGTGATCTTAGGAAGATTAGTAAGCGACATTATGCTATCTTGATTCTGATTGTACTTCTTCAAAGAAGAAGAAGACACTCACACGTGAATATGTTAAGTAACTCGGCATAGTACGATGATATAATAGAGATATATATGCACACACGCTTCGATCATTTTCAATGGATTTGAAAGAAACAAATTCATCTTGTTCCCAATACATCATCTCGTCCTCTCTTCTCTCTCTCTCTCTCTTTCTCTTTTACATAATCGTCAGAAGGAAAATGTTGTAACAACATACGTCTTTACTATAGTTTAGTGACTAGTATGGCGATTATTAGCATTTGACTGGTGGTAGCTTGATCTAGGCATAACACATTTTTATGTAACTCTTCTTACACTATCATCTTCTTTACAATAGACATTAGATTCGAAAGTATACTAAATGAGCGATCCATCGTTATCGATTACGCAATTTGTAAGGAACTATAATCATATTACGAAATAGAATAAATGTAAAAAAAAAAGTCAAACATCCACACAAGGCAAGCACTTGGCACTGCTAAATGGACGCGGCGACGTGATTTACGTAACTGGCTAAGGTTATGTAAAAAGGAAAAAAAAAGAAGAAAAAGACGACGTCGCCATCAAGGACAAGGCCATTAGTTCATGATCATATTCTTTCATTCTATAGGTAATAGCGGAAATAAAATGTTTATTCTTGAACAGTAATATAATTACGAAGTTCTATAAGCAAAGAATAACGAGAGAAAAAAAGAGGAAGAGATTGTATTTGACGTATTCATACTAAAGGTTATTGATAAAGATCAATATTGATAAAAATCTAAAATAATTAATTGTAATGATTCAAAAAAAAAGTAGCCATTAAAGTAGGATGATTGTAATCAAATCATCAAGTACGTTTCATCAAATATTATTCATAAATCATTTAATAATCATACATTTTACAACACTTAAAGTGATTATTAATTTTTATCATGAGTCGTTCAAAGTATTTTGTCGATTAGAAAAAAAAAAGTCCCCACCGTCACATGAATGAATCAGTTGAGTCTTACACAATTCACCTATTCATTGTGATTGGTTTGTTCTGTATATTGACTCATTATTTTTTTTACAAAATTATACATGAAAACAACATGAAATACCTCGAAAGGGCAAAGTTTTAATTTCGCAATCTTTTTTTAGGGCAAAATGAGAAGCATATGACTTTATAGTCTGCACAAATGAAAAACATAATATGTAATAAAAATAAATAAATTTATATATATATTCTATTAGGAAATTACAGGCCGACAAAAATATAGACCTTTAATTCCCTATTCGCCTGATCTTGTTCACATAAATACAAAACTATTTCAATAGACTTGAAGTTTTTGATGTTACTGTTGATTACTGTCTATCAATTAACTGTTTTATATCCTTGTCTATTAATATAATCCTATTTTCAATTAAGTGAAAAATTTTAGTTTATTAAGCATTGTATGAACAACAAGAAATAAGTTGTACATTGACATTTTCTTTTCTGATAATAATCAATAATCAACTAAAATCTTGATTCTTCATTTGTTTGTATATACAAATGCTGTCAGATATTGATGAAGAAAATCTGAGACCTGGATTTACAAATATATAAAGCCACAACCTTCCTTTTCATCACTTTATAGGACATATTTGGAAGTTTCATTTCACATGATTGTAACTATAGTTATTGTTTCTAAAGATTGACATCTACTCTAAGCCATAAAATTATGTATTTTGTAATATATGTAGAAAACCAGTGTACTAAGCTTGTTCTGATTTGATTACGATGTCATCAACAACGTTTACTATTTACATACCAACAAAGACTTTTATATAAATTTCAGTGCAAAATACAAAGTTGATACACATATCAGAATCGATGATAACGTTATAATGATCTCAAAATAATTTCTATGCATTGGTTTTCTAGATATGCTTCGAAACACATGATTTCATGACTTAGAGTACATGCCAATCATTTTCTTGGCATATTCTATGTATGATCCATAACTATCTTTTTTTTGAACTGTTCGTAAACTTAATTTTTTTAATAATAACATATGTTTTTATTGTTTTCTTTTTTTTTTCAATCTTGATTTGTCTTTATGTGAACAAGGTTCTACAAAAAACACATTTCATCATCTTCTCAATTGACAACAAATTGTGTATATGATGATAAAAAGAAGATACATTAACAAAAAAAAAACATCCGCTGATTTATTTAATAAAGAATGCTCAATCATAATCACCTAAAATATAAAGAAAAAATTTCATTAAGAATTTTGTTTTTTTTTCTTTTGTTTTATAATTTCAATCGACTTACTGTAATCGATTGGTTCAGCATCTTCATCAACATTTAAATTTTGTAAATCAACTTTATAACGAAGAATACCTCCAACACCACCAAAACCTCGAACGAATTGTGAACCTTCTTGACTTTTATCAGTGACGATTTCAAGAGTTGTACCTTTACATAAAAATTTTAATAAAAACTTTTAAAGAAATTCCTTTTTTTTTTTTTTTCATTTACCAAAATTTTTATAATTATTTGCAAACCATTCAAGTAAAGGCATTTCTTCGACATGTTCTAATTCTACACCAGTATCTTTATCTTGAAAATGTGATTTTTCTTTTTCTTGATCCGAACGTAAAAATAAAACTTTTGTTTCTTGTGTTTGAGGATTACGTAAAACATAACGCATAACATCAAAATTTTCCCAAACAATTAAAATTTCAACAGCACCCATTTCAAGAGCTTTAAGAGTTTCTTCAACACCGAAACAATATTGACCAGAATCTCTTGATACTTCATCAAAATATCGAGCTTTAAAAAAAACAAAAACAGATTATTCAAATGAATTAAATCTTCTCTTTTTTTTTGTCTGTAAATATTTACAAATAAGTTTTTTTTCTTGAATAAATTTAACATCACCAAGTGTTTCAGCAGCTAATTCAATAGCTTGATTAAAACCATTTTCACCACCATATGATACATCAACTCGTTTTAATACTTTAGCTTGAAGACGCTTAAACATAGAAGAAAAATCGTTTTGTTTTTTTTTTTCTTTGTATAAAAATTTATGTTTATTTTATCTTACTGGATCAAACATATCAGATTGATGAAGTTCAGTTTTAAAATCAGCTAAACCAGCAAGAATTATTCCACTAACATTTACTTTATCATCTGTGATAAAACATTGTACAGCTGTTTCAGCTACTTTTCGTACATAATTATGACGTTTTTCCATACGAAGTCGAGCAAATCGAAGTGCACTTTGACCACCACGACCATGTTTTTTTGGTAAATCAACAGCAAATTTTGTTATAACTTCTCGAGAATTACCTTGTAACGTGCCGAATAAAGCACCATTACCATCCATAACAATAAAACCAAATCGAGAATCATCAGCTAGTAATGCTTGTAATGCCTTAAAAAAACGAAAAGACAAGATAGACATATTTTATTTAGACCAAAACAAAACGAATAATTATCATGTTTATTATTCAATTTGTAAACATAAATAATTTTCATTAAATTCAAATATAATAATCTCTTAGGATTATAAAATGCAATCAATTATTCGGTTTTCAGAATATTCAAGAGTTTCCTCTTGAGTAATGATGAGTACTTTGGTTTTTCTTACTAATAATTTGAGACAAATGTCACAGTACAAATAGAGATGTGATCATCATGATTAGAACTGAGGCTATACGAAAAAAAAAATTGTCTCAACAAGAACTAAAAACTATACTTAGATACTCTATGACTCTAAGCAAATTATCTTATCAATTATTAATTAGAATGTAATGCTTCGGAAAAAGTGCAAGCCATCAGTTAAATAAATAGAAAAAAAAAACAAATATTGCAGAACTGTTTTTAGATGTGATATGAATTATATTCTGGAATAGTTTTGTGTAGAACGAGATCAAGAAATCTTCGTTTTGTCAGTCTTTAGTTAAAACACAATTAATGTTTATCACATCTAATATATAAAATAAGTTTCGGAATTTTCTGTCCTAGACAATCTCTGAATTTCAGTACATTGTTCGATAGTGAAATAATGCGAATTTAGGAAGTTGTTTTAAAAGAAAAAAAGTATATTGCTACTATTTCTAACAGAATGGTAAATCCGAACATGAATAAAACGATTTAAAACTTAATAAAATGTTCAGATTTGAATTTTGAATAGTAAAACAAATGATATATTCAATCGTTTGAATCAATTTCAGTGATTTCTCATTAGGAATGAACTGTAAGAGGTTCGTGAGCAAGAAAATGTTACGAAAGAAAATATGAAGTCACGGAAGAGTAACCGAATAGTCTAATAGAGGTCTATTTTCGCAAACTTTAAAATTTTGAAATTGCTGGGCGAGTCATTACTATTTCATATGTTAACAGATCAATAGAACGTAACAAAAAAAGGCTTTAATCTTAAATTTGATAAGATACCGATGATTCAAAAATTTTTTTTTTGATACATTCTTTTCTCATGTTAGAATAGCATTTATCGATTTATCTCTACAAATCTTGACAGTCTTAATATTTATCTAACATTAGTTTTTTTCTTTTTCATTTTACTCTGATCACGTTTGAAAAGTATTGTTTGATTGTTGAGAAAATCAATTTTTTTATGATTACATGATAAAACGCAAGAAATACGAGTCCCTATTCAAATATTTCGACTATCAAAACTTGTTTCTCCAATGAAACAGACATTATATTCAGATTCAAAATACAAATCTACGTCAAATAATACAATAAATATTGAAAACAAATTTTGCCCTTAGAGGAATTACGAATAAGATTATTCAACAAAAACCGTGACGAGATTGTAAGAGACAATGTTTGCTTTAAGTATTAAGTGTGCTAATCAATGTAAATTTATGTACTGATTCTGAATATAATATTTGTTTCATACGTGATAGAAGTTCTAATTGTCTAAATTTGTGAATTAAATTTTGTATTTATGATGTTTTGCTATTGAATCACAAATAATCGACTAATACTTTTCAAATATCATTCAAATAAAATTTCAAAAAAATTATATCGGATGAATATTGAGGTTACTGTGACTTGATGTATTTTAGTTCTTTTCAAGCTTTTCTATTTAATCGAATTTCTCTACGTTTCGATATAAAAACATTGTGCTCAAATTTCAAAGTGTTGGTATCTGACAGAATTATGATTTTCATGCTAATACTTCAAAAGTTTCATTCATGTTTCAAAAGTTAATTTATATAGTATAAAGAATAGATTAATTTAATTGATTACTAGTAACATCTTCTTTCATTTGAGACTTCTTCATCTATCATGAATACATACTTCTGTATGAAATTTATTGTCACAAAGATAAAGAGAGGTATTGATCGGTTTGAAAGGTTCAAAATCGATGTTGACCTTTTTTTCTTTACCATCTTCTGTCACTATTGTACCACAATAAATAACAAGTCCATTATTAGGTACTTAAAAGAAAAAAAAACAAAAACATATTCATGTTATATCCTATTTATTTTAGTGTTTCTACATGACACACACTTCCCACTCTATATGCTATGTGTCATCGAATAATGCGCGTGTGTATATCATGTAAAAGAATCTTTATTTTAACAATACCTTTATTATAAAGTTTTAGTCGAGCTTGTACAGATGTAATAGCAGAAAGGACAGATAATCTATTAACACGTGATTTAATATTTGATGCTGTACCATATTCATCTGCCAGCATTTTTGCTATACGTGGTATTTGATCACGAGGTGGAATAATCAATGAAATCATACTTGTGCCATTCCTAAGAAATAATAAATAACATCATAATGAAAATATAATAAAGATAAATCATGTTTTAATACCCTCTAGCTGCTTCCAAGCTTTTGATTAATTTTTTAATTTTCCAAATTTCAACATTTTTATCTGATGCTTCTTGTGGTTGTTCAGCCATAGGATCAAATTTATCAACACCGGGATAATGCAAGTAATCGCAGAATTAATTGGAAATATAAATGCACACACACGTACACGCAAACAGATTTTATACGAGAACAAGAGAATAAAGATTTATTATTTTTTGTCTATTTGAACAAAGAACAAAAGATTATGATGAATGTTTGAGAAATAAGTTTTAAAATGGACGTAGATGCACGTGAATTGTCGTCACAATCAGAAGCGAAGAAATAGTTTATGAAAAAAAGACATGAAGAATAAACATAACAACAGGCAAATATATAGAAAGATTGTGGCGCAAGAATTTCAATTGATAATTGAGACACCAGTATTACAGTGTCGTAATGTTGAGTCCCATAGGAAAATTTCACAATTTGATTTCGTAATTTTGTTTTCTTATTGAAAGTGATATACCTGAGTCAAAATTGGAATAAACACCTATAATATTATCAACAGATGGAGCTGCATGATGAACAAAAAATTATATTAAACTAATTTTAATTACAATAAGAAACACAGGATTAAAATAAACGACAACAGTAACCATCATTCAGAAATTGGAAATTTAATAGCAAGTTAGATGGAATTCAAGAAAGTCTACAATGAGGATAGTTTAAAGCATTATTGTCATACACAATCCTACTGATAGGGTTACAAGGATTGACACATATAATCATAATTCAAGAACACCAAACACTGAATTATAGAGATGTGTATAGAAAGTTTTTTTTCGTACCTTATATCCTGACGAAGGATAATTCTCCTACTTGGACCCGGTCGAAGTGTACTTTAATACTCTCAATGAAGTTTTCTAATCGGAATCGCAAGGTCAACCTGAAGGTATGACATACTTGGCCTTTTTCTAACTTTTTGTATTCGATGATTATTGTGCTACACATCTCTCAGACGACTAGAACTCGTTGGATCCAAAATTGTCCGATCCACACTCTATAGCAACTGAACGAGCTTCATTCTGCATATCTCTAATGAATCTTAAGTTCTTAGGATTTTGAAGCATTCAAGACATTGTACAATGAAATAACTTGAAAATCTGTCACATAGAACTTCACGAATGAAATTAAAAAGATTTATACATAGAGTCCCGATCCTACTTGACCTTCTTGAATTTCCAATTTTTGGACAGTATGTATATCTATTAGACGAAATAAATTTTATATAAATACGGTGATCAATTGTGTCTGTTGTGTTTAGATTGATTTAAAAAAATATCCAATTTAATAATTTGAAATTGCCATAGATATTGGTTGAAAATATTTAATCGTTCATCAGTGAATGAAGAAGAGACATTGAGTGAAATCTATTACTTAGTAATAATAATAAAAAACAATTAACTAACTAAACGTTCTTAACTCAAATATTCGATTATTGGAAAATATTTTTAGCCTATGGTATAACAGTATGCTTTATTCAATAGTTCATAGTCTACTAGTTATTGTAAATGGTATTGATAAATATTCTTTATAGTAACACAAATAAATTCTTCATATTTCGCACCAAGATTGTTGTTGTTGTTGTTATTATTTTCTTTTTAATTCGATTAATTATATAATCATTTTCGTTTGAATTTTCATTTTCTTTACATATTCACTTTTAATGTTACTCTTATTTCAATTATCTAAATTAATTTATTATTACTAAATGTTTCTAGATGAGAAATCTATTAAATATAGAAACATTAACGATCATATTAATTTATTTTCATCTAAATTAAAAGGAAATGTTATTAAACAAGCAGCATCTAGACTTTTACAACATGTAACATTAAATAAAAATTTTTATCATATAACACAAAATATCAATGGAAATGCATTTGATGATTATCATACATCATCAAATTGTATTCAACGAAATAGAAAAGAATTTGGACGAACAGATAAATGTAATTCATGGTTATCAAAATTTCCTACAAAAAGTGATACATCTCTCAATCGGTAAACTTAATAGAATAATAGCTAAGACATATGTATATATATATCATTTTAGATTACCTATATTCATTAAATCTCCATTATATAAACATAAATCACGTGATTATTTATCATCTATTCATATTTATCCTCAAACTAAGTATTCAAATATATCAATGAATCAATCTCATTATATGCCTTTACAATTTCATCAAAATTCAACCATATTATCAAATACTGCTATTCCAAATGATAATAACAATATTAATCCACAATATGAACCATTATCTCAACCTCTTATAGTAAGCTACAAAAAAAAATAGAAAAAAAAGTACTTTTGGTCATGAACGTTTTTTTTCGAATAGTAATTTTTCATTTAGAGTCAAAGCAATCATTAACTAGGATGCATGCATTTGTAGAAAAAACTATGTATTCATTTAAGAGTACACCTTTTCCGCTTTTGTGATCGAAAATTTTTGTTTATTGTTTCTGGTTGTGATATAGTCTAAAGTAATATCTTTCTACGGAGTATAGTTTTCAACTTAAAAATTATCTTTGAACCTTATGAGATAGAAATAACAAATCACTTTTTTTTTCTCAAACCAACTTTTTCATTCAAAAGAAAACAGGGCAAAAAAACGCTTTTCGTTTCTTTGGTTTAGTACGATCGATCAATATTTTAACTTTTTTATTCGAAGGACAAAAAAATGAAAAAAAGAAACTCACCCAAAAACGTGTCTAATACTTGTACAAAAAGATTTTAAACTCATTCGAACATAGTTTTTTGAAAAAACGAGGACGAAAATTAACTTAATTACTATGACTAACAGTGAGGAACATTACAGAGTGAAGATGAGGTTGCCGTCAGTTTGGACCAGCGTCTACACATTATTAAAAAATAATAATGTGAAATGAACATTGAAAAGCTGATGATTAATTCGAATATAATAATTAATTATATTTTAGATGGTACATAAAAAACGTCTTCGTCGTGATTATTTTTTATCTACAATGCAAAATTGTATACAACCTCCATATAGTCCAAATCATTTTTATGCATTTGATCAAATAAATATGCTTAAACTACAACGTAATCTTCATACAAATAATTATGAAAAAGATAATTATCATCGAAATAATGATTCAAATTTAAAACGAAAATATGTTGAAATTTATAATGATGACAAATCTCAATGTAATTATTCAGATATTCGATTCGATCAAATATCTTTATCTAAAAAACATATATCTTCTCCTATTGAACAATCTTCACCAAAAACAGCAGATCATATGAGTATAAATAAATATCATGATGAAATAAAAAATTCATTGATATCAAATGAAAAATCTGAAAAAGATTTAACAAAAGAAAATCAAATTTTAGAACAATCAAATATAATTATATCACATTTAGAAAAAATTTTAAATTTATGCGGAGAATTACGATCATTAGCTAAAGATATAGAAAATCATCATAATGAAAAAACTATATTATCAAATATAATTAATAATAAAAATCCAATAGATATATCTGAATCTGAACAAATAACAACAATTGATATTCAACAAACAATAGATAATATTCATGAAAAAAATATTTCATCATCATATCAACTTACTAATGATACATTATCAATACATTCGGAAAGTAATAAATCTCATCCATTAATGGTTTGTTTATTTAAAATAAAATTTTATTGAAGTCAATTATTTAAATTTTTTTTTTTTAGCAAACAGAATCATTTAAAACAAAATCACCTAGTTTAACAAATTCACATACAACATTACGTAAATCTGAAGATATTTGTTCATGTTTTTTAAAATCAATTTTTGATAAACAAATTTGTGAATTAAATATTGATGAACAAGAATATTTAAATGAACTTACAAAAGCTTATTTACTTGGTAAAAAAACAATACTTAAAGAACAACAAGAGGTTAGATTTTAAATAAGAAAAATTCAATATTATGAATTTTGTATTTATTTTTAAGGAAAATAATAAATTTCAAACATTAAAAAATGAAATTCTTTCAGAAAAACAACAAGAATCTAATGATCTATCATCTTTAGCATTTGATACTAATAATAATAATCAATCAAATACACCTGCAAGTCCATCATCTATTTTATTCTATGATAATTTTCAAAAATTAGATAATCATTTATTGTCTAAACCAAATAATTCAAAAATTTCATTAATTGAAAATGATCAACAACAACAACAGTTATCTATTCCATCTGGAATGATTAGTCTTAAACATGAACTATTTATTAATGAACCAATTGCAATGAAAACAACAAATGTTTTACCTGGTATTGGAACTAAATATGCTCAACAATTAAGTGAATGTGGTTTTACAACAGTACGACGTTTACTTGGTTTTTATTTAATGATTAAAGATGATCAACATTTTGTTATTTGGCTTAATAATAAAGCAGAAATATCAATACATTCAGCTTGGTTATGTACAAATGCACTTCGAGCTTGGTGTGAAGTACATCTTTAAATTGCATTGGTCTCAGTTTTTATTTCTGTTTTCAATTAAAGATATAGAATTTCTAAAGTATTTTTCGAAATAGATTCAATACGCTCAAGGATAGAAAATTTTCAAACATAAAAACTTGGAAATATTTATCTATGTTAGATAATATCGAGAAGAAAACAGGAGACTTAATGAATTTACCCAACTAATGATGAAATATATTTTACCTTAAATAAAAGAGAATATTCGAAGTAAATATATGTTTTTATAATAACTCTAATGTGTGAAATTACTACCGTGGAAAACCGAACTATCAATCGTTGAGTATTAAAACGAACATAACACTAATAGTAAATTGGTAAGATATAATGAGGATGTAGGTGGATACATTCATTCTTCACTTTCGCCTATCCGTATCCAAGAGAAAAAAAAGAAGATATGAAATAAATGCATGATTCAAGTTAATTTGTTAACTAAGATTTTCTTCATTTTTCATCATTACTTTTGGTAAAGTATGTTTCTTTTTTCTGAGAATATAAATATATTGATTTGTTTATCATCAACTAAATAATAATTTGTATTGTTTCGACATTTTTTCTTTTCGATCAAAATATAATTTAATTTCTAGAAACTTCTAGATTGAAGGTTCTAATGTCTCCGTCGGATAATATCATCTTATCATTGATTACAAATATGTTATTCTACTCAATGTTCTTTTCTATCTATTTTATTCTTTCATGCGTCATTTAATTCTTATTTGTTTTTAAGTAAAAAGCGTTTGATAATTTTCAGCTAAATCAAAAAAGAAGAACTTTATATCTAGCCATCCGTTTGTCGTACATTTTGCAATTATAGATAAATAATGACAAAACAAGTTCTCGATATTTTCTAAGCATTCATTGCTATATCCATACTTCATTTGTTTTTGCATTAATAACAATCGTTTTAATTTATCAAAAGTATTCATTATTTAACTTTATAACAAAAGAAGAATAGTTTTTTTATTCAACTTGAGTCTTCATTATTAGTAATGAAAGATCTGATAGAATGTTAATATACAATCATGTCTATATAGTTAGTAGTTGAATCAAGTTTATTTTCCATTCAATAGAAACTCTGGATACATTAATACTAACCGTTTATTTTATTGTTGATGAAGAAAAAAAAATTTACACGTTATTCTTTCTATTTATCACTCAAAACAAAATCAGACTTTGATATTCTTTTTTCGTCTGTAAAGAAAATATAGAAAAGAGCAATACGTCCGAGAATGTGAAAACAATCATTATGTTAAAAGACTGTGCAAATGAAAATATATTGCTTACGAACAGAAATATATGAAAACTACAATAAGTTACGAGCCGTGTCTTCTTGATTGCGGACAAAAATCAAAGCAATTAGCATGGCGACAGTGTGGGTGAGGGCTGAAATATTGTCCGCAATTAAGAAGTAGCCGTTACGAGCATGTTTGATAATTATTTTTTTCTTCACTATTTCAAAGCATTGATATGAGTGAATTCAAGCGAAACGTACAAATATATATATATATAATAGAAAATGACAGTTACCAAAGAAAAACTTCTCGCTCCGTTTTTGAGCTACATTAATTTTTTTCTTGTCTATAAAACTGCTTAATTATATAAATAATATTGAGAGAAAATTGTTTTTAGTTATACTATATACCAGTGAGTCATTTCAATGTCATATATCATAATGAAAAATAAAATAGTACATATTATTGGAAATGTATAATTGTTTTTTTGCAATTGTAAAATGTGTAGGAGATGTCATGAAGCATGAATAATTGAAATATTTTATAAAAAAATACAGTTGATTTGTCTTTATTCTTTTTAAGGCATATCTCATTAATAATTCGACAAAAATAATGAACTATCCTGTACCATCTTATGGTGTAGCCGCACCATCAGCTAAATTTAATAAAAAAACGATTATCATCATTATTGTTATTGCTGTTGTTGTTGGTTTGTTAATCCTTGGTGCTATAGCTATTGCACTAGGTGTTGGTCTTGGAGTTGGTTTATCAAGAAGAAATAATGCTTCATCAAGTAAGAGTACTACTAGTACTTATTCGATTCTATCAGCACCTACAGTTACTTGTACTTATGGTGGTTCAGCCACATGTGGATGTGCTGCTACAAAACCATCATTTTTAACACCAAGAATAACTCAAGGTTATACTGGAACAGCTTATTCTTGGCCATGGATTGTAGCACTCTATATAAACAATGCTAAAGCATTCTGTGGAGGATTTCTTGTATCTTATCAACATGTTGTAACAGCAGCTCATTGTGTATCGGGTGTAACACCAAGTACAATTACAGTTTATGCTGGTATACAAACACTTTCATCACGAAGTAGTAGTCAATCTCGTGTTGTTTATAATTTAACTACACATCCAAGTTATTCAGCATCAGATCATACAAATGATATAGCTATACTTACACTTCAATCAGCATTTGATCAAACATCAATAGTTGGTAAATGTTGTTTAACATTCGATAGTTCATTACCAAGTATTGGTGAACATGCTGTTCTTGCTGGTTGGGGAGTAACAGCATCAAGTAGTACAACTGTATCAGATCAGTTACTTCAAGGTGTTATTCAAGTTCAAAGCAGGTCATCGTCATGTCCTATTTCGTCGAGTAGCCTTCAAATTTGTGCTGGTTATGATGGTACTGATGCATGTTATGGTGATAGTGGTAGTCCATTGATGACTAGTGTTAATAATTCATGGACATGTACTGGAATTGTTAGTTCTGGAAGAAGTTGTGGACAAAGTAGTCTGTATACTCGAGTTTCAGCTTATCGATCATTTATACAAGGAATTATTGGTAGTTAACATGATGTTTCTCTTTTTTTTTTGCTAGGAATCTTTAAAACTTTCTTGATATAGTATGTATGAAGTATTTTCCTTATGTGTGTTTCATTAAAGAATATTTAGTATTCTTTTTTTCTCTAAGGAAAATATACTCGCAAAATATTGTTTGTGGCTAAACCATGATCAAACCGTTTTGATTTTAATTATTAAAAGTTGTTTGGTGAGTTGTTGAGTGCACAAGACAATTAATAAGAAAAACATAATAACGTGAAAAGGACATTCCTTTTTTGAATACGAAAGATTCCATGATTAGATAGTAATCAAAACATATCACGTATATATTTCTATTTATATAACATTTTGTTTCATATATATTATCAAAGATATTTGATTTAATTTCTATATATTGTAAATAGAATTTGATTATTTAGTCTCAATAAATTACTTGATCATTTTCATATGTAAATTTGTCTTGATAATATTATAAACTATTGAATGTCAGAAATAACATTATTAAAATATTTATAAAACTGTACAATAATTAAAAGGAGGTGTTGCAATGAAGCCACTTTTTTGCCTATGACATTTTCTTGTTGTTTCGATCAGAAATCTATCGAGAGCTTATTAGACGTATTTTCTAAGACTTGATTATGCTCTGTCTCGAAATGACTTTGTTGATCCTTGTGATTCCCCAAGGCCTTGTAAGAAAATTTCTTTCTCAAATTACTTCGAGGTTATATTCACTTGATGCGTTTTTGGATGCTGATCACGAGTATCGTGTTTCAACCTGAAAACGATTGAGTTTTTATCAGAGAAACACGCATATCACTAATAAATTGTTCTCAGAGCAGTTTGTTCATCTCACAAAATTTTTGTATATAAACAATCTATTTAAACATTAGGTTGATTTTCTAAATTATAAAATATTTAGGTAAAACTATGTGTTCTATACTTTTCAAGTAAAATCAGGTTTAAAAGGATACATTTGATTGCAACTTCGCAAAAGTAAACGTAGTAATATTTTTAAAAAGAAGTTTTTGGAGTTTTCATCGAATTTTGTATTACTCGAAATCGATCTGATGTCAAGAAACCATATAAACAGTTCGAGACAGTTTTTCATACTTTATCCGAATATGAATTCAGTGTCATATAGAAAAGTTTCATCAGGTTTCAAGAGATTTTCTGGCACATAAAGTCTAAAGTTCTGAAAAACCCGAAGCTTTTCAGAAATATTAACTATTTTGCATATCCTAAAATCTATTCCTACAAGTTTTTATAGTTTTTGCTATATTGTATCATTTAAAATACTGGTTGCTTCAATCAATGAAAAAAAATTGACCTGCTTAACAATCTATTAGATTATTCTATATATCTATTGTTGTGGTTGAGTAAAGTCTCTAGAGAATTGTATGAATAGGTTTTAGGATATGTTTAATATATTAGCATTGTGAGAAAACATCAATTCTTTAGGATTCTATGGTTGGTTTCCCAGAGAACTTCTGAACATCTGATGTACACCTTTCTAGGTAAACTTGAATTCATATGTGGATAAAGCATGGAAAACTGCATGGAATTGTGTCTATGACTTCTTGACAGCAGACCATCTTCAGGTAATATAAAGTTCGATAAAATGTCAAAAAACTCATTTTTAAAAATAGTTCTACGTTTTTTGCGGAAGTCACGATCAAGTATAAGTTTTTTAGAGGAAATTTCACTTGAAATGGATCGAACTAATAGTTTTACTCATACATTTTATAACTTAGAAAATGAACCTAATATTTAAGTGTATTTCTTGCATGCAAAAAAGAGATGTGCGGTAAAACACTACTCTCTGATCAATTTTTAAGTAGTATACGTGTTCTCTATTAGAACGCCATTGTTGCCAATTTCAAACACGATATTCATTGTCAGCGTGACAAAATGCATTCAGGAAATGTAACATTGAAGTAATTTGAGAAAAGTGTTTTGCAAGTGCTTGAGAGAGAACCACAGGGGTCAAAAAGCTGCTGTCGGAATAGAACAAAATGAAGTCTCAGGAAATACTTCTAATAATCCCCTGATACACTTCTGATCGCAAAGAAACCTAAAATGTCATGGACAAGAAAGAACGCTTTTATTGCAACACCTCCTGTGTCTGTTTTTTCTCGATGATAATTATTCAACATGACAATTTCATAGATGTCTGATATGATATACTGGGCTATAATTCTACCAATAACAAACAAATGTTTTTTTCTATTAAATGAATAGACATTTCATTCGAAACTATGTCTGTGTTGTTTTCATATAATCTAGTTATTATATTGCAAAGCATACAACAATCTATGAAACAGTATTAATCAAAGAATCTACGAAAATTGTTTAATAATTAAATTCTAATGAATATCGTGTTATTTAAGTTGAAGTATAACTATTTTTATCAATAGACGGACCTAGCGCTAGAATACAGACGGCATGTAATAATTAGAAATTACTAGAAAAACACCTACAGAAGGACATTTTTTTTGTTCATCAGTGTATACCTAAAAGTTATATCATTAGATGAGCTAAAATTCAATTAACTCTATTCTTAATATAAAATCTTTGTAAAGAAAAAATGTATTAATTTTGATTATTATCTATAATAAATGTCAAATAATTCTTGAAAGTTTCAAGTTCAAATATCTTATTGAGAACTTTATTAATAATTAGTTTATATATATGGTTTCATAAAATATTATTATCTTTCATTTCTTCTATGATATGAATGAAACATGTAATTGCAATGGTTAAGATTAAATTAAATAACAAATCTTTTAATCTTAAAGCAAATTATTTGGTCTCACGCAAAGATAGGATGCATTTCAATTGAGCCTTTTTCTTCTTGTATTTCTCGTGTTTCGCTATTGATATATCGAGGATCATTGATGAAGATATATGTTTTTATACTGTTAACTAAAAACTAGAATTTTCCGATGTGCATACTTGTCTTCTAAATGTGGAATAATCAAATACATTCATTCAATGTCGAGAAAGAAGAAGAAGAAGAAGAAGACGCAAGGAAGGAACATGCTCATGAAGAATAAAATCATCAGGGAGAATGATGCCGAGAGTCAGTCAGATATGATGAAATGGGCCGACCGGAAAAAAAACGGAAGAAGAGAGAAGTCGAACAGCCGTTGGCGATGAAACTAGATAAAGAAAAGAGACTGATGAGGGGCAAAGGGCTTGCCTTGATTCTTATTATATAAAAAAAAAAAAACGAGAAGAGAAAAGCAAAAATATTATTGAAAGTTTGTCAGCAAAAAAAAATGATGCACAATATTGGTTGTCCCTGCCGCTAGCTATATGGAGTCTGAAATCGTCGGTAGGTAAATTATGATTTAATAATTATCTTGTTGTTTTGAAAACTTCTAATCAAATAAGAGCTAATAACAACTCTTTGATCGACATATGACACAAGAAAATAAGGAGGAAGAAAGTCATCTTTAGAAATCTAATAAAGACTTTAAAAAGAAAGGTCTTTCTGTTTTTCTTTTAAGTAAAAAAGTTTGTTTTTTTTTGAGTGTAACCGAAGTAATTGTTATTACGTGAGATTTTTTTTCTTTTTCAAGAAATGTTGAGTCAACAAGTGACTTTCATCGGAAGGAAATAAATAAATCGTTAATCTATCTTTTTATTCGTCAATATATTCATAAAAAATAATTTATTTTACTGAAAATAAAAGTACTCAAGAGAAAAAAAAAAACAAGAAAATTTTTTATTATTTTTTTTTAAGTATCAAATATAACAATGATTGAATCAAACTTAACGATGATTGATCAAACACAAAGAGTTGTTATTTCACCTGTTCAAGTAACACCCGATCGAACGGGTTTATTTATAGCATTATTTTTATTATTTCTTCTTTTTATTCTTATTTCTTATTTATTCTACAGTTTTTTTTCATTTAAACGTTTTACTTCTCAACAAAATAATGTTCAAAATAATTTATTTGATCAAAATTTTAATAATAAAATTATTCTTGATGATAATGATGATCTTATTAATAATAATGGAGAAATTATTCTTGGACGGCAAAGTTCATTTTCTGATTGTGGAACATCATTACGTTCATCATCAATACGTTCACATATAAATCAACGTACTAAACGAAGTAGTTCATATAAATATTGTTCACAAACATCAAATTATCTTTTAACACCATGTTTATCATCACAAATGACAACCACCGGTGACGAATGTTTACCAACAACAATTATTGTTGAACCACATGATGCTCAATTAGCTAACGCTTTATCTCGTTCTATATCAAAATATTATGAACGTAGAAGAAAACCAATATTGAAACGTCGTACTCATTCATATGACGATATAGTAACACAAACTATCAAAAAGAGATCTCCATTACAACCAACAGTTTCATTACCTATACGTCGTAGTTTACAACAAGCTGATAAAAATAATCGACAATATCAAAGGCAGTCATCATCTAGAAAAAAACCAACTACTATTTATGAATTATATAAATCAGACAGAATGAGAATTTCTAATCTGCTCTCTTCTGATGCTTAGAATATATATGAATAACAATAGGAAACAATTCATTAATATTTATTTGATGAAATAGTTAAATTGAATGGTTTTGCTCAATAAGAACATTACTTATTGTTCTAAATCTTCCATTGTTCAAAAAAGAATCATCATATTGACAATCATTGCTCGAATATTCATTTTCTTTTTCTTTTATATTCATGTTGAACAATAAAAAACAAAAACAAAAACAAAAAAACAAAAGACAAGACTTGAAAAACAACAATCAAAATAGATGTTAATCTTATGAGATTTCTTGATCAATAGAAGAAAATTTTACACCACCATGTGAAATAATCGATCGTGTTGTACGTTGATGATTGTTATTATTAATCGATAAGTGATTAATTTTATCATCAATATTTTTTAATGATATATAAATATTTTCCATAGTTTGTTTCATATCAATAATTGAACATTCAACACGTTGCATACGTGCAAGAACAGTTAATTTTGAACGATCTTCATTACTTAATGGTGGCTGTTTACCAATAGTATGTTCAAGTCTAATCCATGAATAAAAAAAAAAAAACAGAAACCGATGAAATTTTTTTTGTTTTTTTTTTTATTGTTTGTTTTTACTTTCGTTGTAATTCCTTAATTCTCATCATCATATTAATATGTCCATGTGAATATTGTTCAAGTACATCTCGTACATCATAAGGTTTTCGAGCTTGCTAGAAAAAAAAGAATCTATTGGACAAAGAAAAAGAAACAAAGAAAATTTTATTTTACTTGAAAACGTTTACGAGCAACAATTAATTGCATTTTACGAATACAACGAATCATTCGTTTATGATCTTCAGTTAAACTAATAAATACAAGAAGAATAGATTAAGTTTATCTTATAGTTCTCATGTCCATTTCAAAAAAAATAAATAAAGGAGAATGGAAGTTTTTTAAAATAACTTTCGATAGAAACAAGATGGAGAGCTGCAATTGTCGCCTTTAGAAAGAGAAGATAAAGACGCATCAACTCATATTTGACAAGTTTTTTTTCGACCTAATCTTTTCTTAGGATTTCAATTGACCACCTATTTGAGAGCCTACCTACTCTGAAAGGTGAGTGTAATGAGTTTTCAATAATCAGATGTGCATTCAAATCATCATTGGAAGATTTAAAAGTATCACATTTAGTTATTCAGTAGTCGTAGGTATTCTAGTCAAAATTTGCAGCTGATTTTTCAAGCAATTATTGTTAAAAAAAAACCAAAGTTTTTACTTTTTGTTTATGTTACAAGGAACTATTTTTTCAACATTTATTTGATTAAAAAAGCTTTAGAAAATACCTTAGAAAAGCCTATAATATGAGATTCGATGCGACTTCATATCCTCTTTCCACTAATGAAAATTGTAATATTCTATCCTATTTCTCCCCACAAAAGTTATTTATGAAAACCCATCACCCTTTCTTTTTAAATGGATATTATGTCTTAAAAGGGGCTAAGATTGATCAAAAAAATCTTGTTTATGTTAATTTTAATCTTGATGAATCTATAAGTTCATCCAAGTAGATAATTACTTTATATATATATGTGATGTTCTAACTGACATCACTATTCTATCGAGATTACTAAGAAAAGATAAGTTAAGTTTTAAGAGCAGTTTTTCGATTGTTCATTGAAATCATATTAATACATTGTTGAAGATCGAAATTTTTCTAATAATCTCTAGAATATGAATCGTTTCAAAAATCACACTTAAACTCAAGAGAGTTCTTTCTGTTTCGCAATAAAACTGAATAGTCTTCTCAAAAGAAAAACTCGACAAAAACATATAAATATATTAGAACTTCAATTCGATTTATTTTGCTTTCATCACAAACAATTAATATAAATTCTTTTTTACTTTTGAATAAGTCTTACAATTATCAATGGTAATTTCTCAATACATTTCAATGAAAAAAAAAAAATTATTAAATTAAAAACTTCCATCAAAAAAAAAAAGCTGAAATATTAATAAAAAAATTCTATACTATATCGAAATAATTCTTTTTTTTTCATCTTAAGTACTTCTTTGTTTACAAGTATCACTCAACAATAGACGTAATAATGGCATCTGCATGCACAAGAATGATTGACCTGAACTGACTGAAAATAAACAATTGTCAAGCGTAGCATTGGAATTCATTATTATAAATGACGTATATTTTTTTATGATATTAACGAGCAATAAAAACAATCACTTATTTATACATGTTTACTTTGATATTCACATTCATATTAAGCTTATAATCGATTTTATTGTATAACATTTAAGAAATTTTTTGACTGTAGCTGATTGTAGTTCTGATACTTTGATTCTATCACAAAAAGTATAGTTTTATCTCGATTCAAATGTTTATCTTAGATTTCTATATCTTAAATTTTGAACATTTATAACTCAAAATTCAGGCATATATATATATATATAAATAAAGTAACTTTTGTTACCAAGAAAATAAATCTAACTTCACCTGTCAGTGGTAATGAGCAAAATTTTTTTAATTATATAATTAATATAAATCAACTAATTTGAGAAAATCCTAACATGATATCATTTCTTCATTATTCTTACAAATTAGCCTCGTTTTTTTTATTATAAATTAAAAATGTCTAAAACCAGGCTTGGATCTTGAACTCAATAACAAAGAATAATTGTGTTCTTTCTTTTCTCATCTATCATGAATATATATATACTTACGACCAAAGTTTAATAGGTTCTTCTTCAAAATCTTCATCATCATGATCATTAGTTGACATCAAATAACATCCTTTAGATGAAAAAAAAGGTTCCTCTTTTATCTTTTAAAGAAAATTCTCATAAAATTTATTTTTATCTTTCTTTTTACCTGTTGTATTCGATGTTGATGAAGTTGAATTTCGAACATCACTCATTACTGGTGATTGTAAAAGATTTGGTGATGATGGTTGACTATGTCTTTTTGATCGACTTTTTCGTATTGAACTTGATAAACGTAAATATCGAAGTTTTTCTGCTGTTCTTTCTATATAGAAACAGAATTTTCATTATATGAAAATGCTGCTTTTTCTTCTTTTGCTTTTGATCATACCGCCAAATGTTTGATTATTTGTTGAAAATGTTTTATTAGTTGATGATGATACATTTGGAACAGTAGCACGTAAATATATATTCCATGTTGCAGTACATGATGAACCAGGTGCACTTGCATAAACACGCCATGCTGCTTGAATTAATGTTGCTGCTGCTGGAATTTGTCGAGAAAAATGTTTTTGTCGTTGTTTTTGTTGAACTTTCAAAGCAAAACCAGAACCAAGTATACCCTTAACAAAAATAAACTCGATAATAAATTATTTATTTTTATTTTATAATATTTACAGCTGGTAAAGCAAAAAATGATATTGCAAATATAGCAAAACAAGAAGCAATAATTTTTCCAAGCCTTAAAGAAAAACAAGATTGGTTTTTTTTCGTTTTATATTAAACAGAAAAATTTTCATTACTTACCATGTTATTGGATAAACATCACCATATCTAATCATACAGAAGAATATAAAGATTAGAAAGGAGAATTATTTATTTTACTAACCCAATAGTAGTTATTGTAATAACGCCCCACCTAAATAAAAATTCATGTTTTGTTTTTGATATTATATTTTCTTTAAACATACCATAATGCATCAGCATATGATTCGAAATGACTATCATTGCCTTTAGCACCTCGTAAATTTTCACCTTTTTCATCTTTTTCAGCAATATAAACTAAATAACTACAAGAAATTAATGCAAGAAATCCAATATATAATGTTGTAATTAATTCCTTTAATAGAAAAAAAAAATAATTCTTTAAAAAAATCATTAATATTTATCTTTTATTTTCTTTACTTGTCGATGAATATAAACTACACTTCCTAATAATCGCCATGTACCACCATGTCTATCAACATGTAAAACACGTAAAATTTGTAAAAATCGAACGCCACGAATAGCTGATGCAGCAAATGTTTTTTGTTCGGTTGCTAATGTTAGCAATAAAGTTGATGCGACAACAACCAATAAATCTTTATATCAATAAAGATAAAGAAAAAAACTATGTAACTTAATTATCATTGTAGCATGTGCAGTTATTCTTACCGATAACAGCAATAGGTTTTCGTGCAAAATGAAAACGACCTATGATACCCATATATTTGCTTCGACATCCAGCTGACCAAAGTCTTAGAATATATTCAATACCAAAAAATAGAACAAGAAATATTTCAATCCAATAAACATATATTGATAAAGATTCTGAAAATTTTTCAATTGTTGATAATACCGATAAAACAAGACAAACAATCACCACCAAAAACCTAAATATAAAAAAAAAAATCTGTTTTGTGCTTTACCCCTCTATCATTTAACATACACAAGAAAATGATAAAAAAAACATTTGAGTCCAGCTGGTCGTTCAAGAAAATTATATAACAATATTTGAAAATTTGAATGCATTGAACGTGCATTATTTTTCGATAGATATGGCATTGGTAAATATGCTAATGAATAATATGTTGGAATAGTTGGATAACTTAAACGTAAACAATGTCTACTTGAATGATATAAAAATGAGAGACCCACATCACGATCCCTGTTCAACGATTCTGATCCATCATTATGAGGCTTTCTTCCACGACGATGATGATGAAAATGCATCAATAAAAAAAAAAAACTTTGCATACACCAGGGAAAGGAAGAAAACAAGAGAAAGAGAAAAACAAAAGGAAAAAAACGAGCAATAGTTCAGAGATATAGTTATTTTCAATAATAATTCAGCAAGATGAACAATAAATGATTACATGCATAGATGCATGTTTTTTTGTGTATATCTAAAAAACAAAACAAATATCATATTGGTATTTTATTATCTATTTTATATGCATAAGTCATTGACATAAATTCCCAGGTCTTTTGTACCAGCTATATAAGACAAAGTCAGTGTGTACGTCAAGTATTTAATATTTTTAAAAACGACGGACACTTACTGTATAGCTTGTGTCTCATCTTATTTTTAATCTCGCTAGTGTTCAATCATGTAATCTTACAACAAAGTTAGGCATATGTCATTCACAAACATATATATATATTAGAACATTTATCATGACTGAAAGCATGAATATGGACGTGATGCCAAGCAGTAAAAGCCATTCTCTTGTTGTGCTCAATCAATTTGGAAATCAAAAGACAAATATGACGGGTTCAGGGATTATAATAACATCGATGAACAGAAGCAAAAAAGCATAGAATAGTATTTTTCTTTTTATTTTCATTGAGACATTTTCAGCTTGATGTCATTATTATTTATTATTGATAGTATCTTTCATAGTGAATTTTTTTTATTATAAGAATTCTCAAAATATAGCTTGATAAAAAAATATCAGACGAAACAAGTACAGAAATAGCTTTAACAAAAGGATTTTTATTAAGCTTTTTAAAATTCCATTAATATAATCTTAATCATATTCGTCAGTTCGTTGATGAGGACATCCTAAGGGTTGAATGTTCAATAAGATACTAATATTTTCATCATATCAATTAGTGTCCTAGTTCATCCTATCTTACTTACGCAAAAAAAACGGATATGCATAGTTGTTGTAATGTAGTTTGTTTTTTTTTTTTGTACTCGCCGTTCAACCGTAAACAATATCGATAAATGTCGACGGCAACTTCTCACGAATTATAAACAATAACTAACAAAAGAGATATATGCCTCATTAGTTTAATGAGCCTGAGAAAATCTGGGTACGAACGCATAAATACATTACGGTTTTCTCATGCCCTTGGGGTACTTTATTCTTTTCAAATGATCAAAGGCGAACAGAGAACTCGGTAGAGAAATGACGACTGCCAATGTAACAACAGAAGGAAAAAATACAAGAAAAAAATAATTATGAGATTATGATTCGAGGTAGACATAGTCTTTTTATTGCATGTAAACTATTTTCTCTTTTTCCTTTTTTTTTTGCATTTTCAATGGTTATATAGTATTGTAGTAATAAATAGCATAAAAAATTGCTTATATTCGTCCTGTATTTATATTACTAAGCTGTATAATCATGCATTGTTTTCAGATATGCATTCCGTATTGAATATCTTCGAAAAATACATATTCTAAACAAAAACCAGAATAGAATGATTTTTCTTGCTATTGATCATTTGAAGATTAACTCTATTAGCGTAATAATGATTTCAAATATCAATATTCAAATGCTATAATATTACCTGTTCAATAATATGAAAAATATATATTCATAATCAAAAGTTGTTCCATTCTCTGAATCAAATAACTGTTATTATGAAAATATCAAAATGAACAGTTATGAATGATTTATTTACATATATTGGTTGCATAGACTATTGTTATTTCACAATAATCATAAGTGATGTGAACAGAAGCAAAGAACGGATATTTGCACAGTTTGACATCATTAAAAAAACATTTTTGTTTTCATCATTCTCCCATACTTATAAGCTGTTAAAAATAGAATAATTCGTTTTTTAATATTTTTTGTAACACGTGACCTATTTTTCATTTTTAGTAGTTTCATTCAAATATTCATATGTATTATAACTGACTATTAATAAATTCGATGAAGAAATCAAGGATAATATCTATTATGAAATATCAATCTAACCATAATAGATCAATTCTTTAACGCGATAAAAAAATAAGTAATACATCGATAATATGTTATAAATTAATAAAACATTAAAAAAACACTATTATGAAAATATTTTTCTTCGAAAAGCTGCTTTTTCGTTTTTTCTTTTTGTATGAATAATTCAAAAGTTTGGTTTAGCTGCTTTTTTTTTTGTTCTAAGGTCTAATTATCTCAAATAGGTTTTTTGCCTGATATGTAAAAATAGAATATTGATTTGTATTTCATATGAATCAATATATATGGTTTTGAATGAATATATTCAAATACGAACATAATGATTGTCAAAGTAAATTAACCAAGATGGAAAAGATATATTATAAATTCCTAGTCTCGTTTTTTTATTACTGATGCATTACAAAGTTAAGAGCATTCTCAACAATGCACTCATACATAATAAAAAAACATGATAAAAATGAATAAGAAAATAAGTAGAGCCAATATTCAAATTTGTGATACGTGTTTTTTTTCTTCACTATTTTACATAAGTATATACTTATACCCTTTCTATTTGAATGAGACTCCCATCAGAGCAACATCGATGCGAGATAATCATTTAGGGCAAGAAAAAAATTTCGAGAGAATGTGTATATAGTCGAAGAAAAAAAAACGAAGAAAGTGAAAAAAAAAAAAAAAAGAAAAGCCCTCACATTTGATACACTGTACCAACTTTGCTTCTACATAACTCACACATTCAATTGTCTGTAATCTGCTCCGTAGACGAACGAACATGGCTTGTCCTTGTATTGCCTCTGAATTTTTGCTTCGTTTTCTTTTTTTTCGACAAGACTAAAGAACAAGGAAGAAAGAAAAAACGAATCTCATGATTAAGAAGGGATGAAACAAAATATATAACTCTCGTTCGATGATGAACTGAACTCATTTTCTTCTTTGCATTGATATAGGTGTCAAATGGTTTGAGTTGTAAGCAAAGTCAAGTTTTTTTACTTTTTTTTTTACTTATTCTTTCCAAGAGAAATTTAACACCTTGTGTTTGATCATAAAAAGCAAGTAGTTGCTATCATTGTATTTCTTGTTCTTTTGGTATTTTACATAGATCTATTAATATTTAAATAATAATAATGGTTGAAAAAGCAAAAATATTTTATTTTGCTGTTTTTATTTTTGCTGTATTCGCATTCGTTTTTCATGTTAATGCTATGGGTCATCACCATTGGAAAAAAGCTGATGCAAGAAATTTCACATTTGGAAATATATATAATTTTAACTACACAAGTATTGGCTTGTTCACGCGATGCATAGTTTCAGATATCTATAAACAGGAAACATGTTTTCCTAATATGTTTCCTACGAATACCAGTTGCAATTATCGAACCGATTGTTGGCTCAGAGAATCAAATCCATCTTGTCCGTGTGATTATTTACCATCAACAAAAGGTATTGCAGCATGTGCCATTATAGCTGCTGTATTTCTCGGTCTTACGATAATTATTCTATTTATTCATTCGATTAATACATCCGAAACTCGTTCATTAGGCATGCTTCTTAGTCTTTTGCCATTAATTTTTCTATTATTATCATTCATATTCATTCTTATTGCACTTATACTTGTCGGAAGTTATTTATCAAGAGATGTAATGTATCTCGTGTTTCAATCTAATAATAGTACGTATATTCTAAATTCTAAGTAAAAGTAAAAATCTAAATCATCAAATAAAACATATATTCTTAACTATGACAAAAACATAATAGAACAATAAAATTGTGAATTTTCTTATGAGCTTATCAGTGATTCTATATTCATACATGAAAAATCAATAATAATTCTTTTCGATAAAAGAAAAGAAATATCCTCTGCTATTTTTAATCTTTAAATTTCAAAACTTTTTATTTTAAGATTTCGATTTGGGTGTACTTCGAGATCGTGCTCGAGAAGCATATAAAGTACGAGTCGATTGGTCAACTGGACTTGAGATTATATCTTTATTTTTTACATTTTTATCATTAATACTTTACATGGCGTTTGTATTTAAATTTGGTCGAGCTTCATAAACAAAATATGAATATAAAAAGAAATTGTTAACGCAATATACGTCCAATGATGAATACAAAAATATCTACTAACTTTTCCTTTTTTTTTTTTTTTCTTTGAATTTTATGCTATATGTATACTAGTTTATTGTATGCCTTTTGTCACCTCGCTATCTTTGTGTATGTTACTTATTTATTCTTTCATATAAATAGAAACAAAAGAGAAACGAAATTAATATTTTGTCTTTGTAATAAAGTTTAATTATTAAATTCTTCATAAAATTGAAATGTAATTTGAGATAAAAATGTACAATTGAATATTACAAAAGAAACATGAAATATGAATCTATATAGATAAAATGTCTTGTTTTTCGATAATAAATATTTAAAAAAAAACTTTGTGAATATGTGATATTATCAATGAAACAAAATAATTTTTTTTCTGTATTGATTGATTAGTCAACAACAAAATACAGATTTTTTTTCGAAGTAGGAACAAACAAAAATATATTTGTGAAGTTTTTTCGTTCATCATAATCGTTTAAATATTATATTCCAACTCGAAATCGAATCTAATATATTCGTAAGGTAATTTAATCCATATTTAAGAGAAATGATTAGACAAAACAAAAAAAAAAATGTATTTTATTATCATACGGTGCGCTACAATGCTTAAAAAAAGAATAACATCGTACTAGATTTACATTCGATAAAAGTTCAAGGTTAACACTGTTTAAAATGTCATTTGTATAATCATGTCGAAACAACAACATATGGCTTATATACAATGAGATGAGTTTTGTAAAATATGAGGTTTTTAATTGTTTGTGAATCTTATCGTGAATTAACAGCTACATTTGTATGTTGTCTTTGAATACCATCAGACTATGATGTAGAGAAGAAGTTTATTGAAAGAAAAACATTTGTTATTGATATTGTCTCATTTACAGCAAAGGGATCAGTATTATGTTTCACAATCGACTTTTGAAAGGCGCTACCAGCCTCCATTTTCAAAATTTTATTCAACGAAATATTTAATCACATATTTATTTAATAATTAAGTTGCCAAGGTTATTTCTTTTCTTTTTTTCTTTTTTCTTTTCTTCTCTCTCTCTCAATTATCGAATTTATTGATAGTGGATAGATTGAATATAAAAACCGGAAACTCTCCAATTATAAATACATCAATTGTACTGGATAAAAAATATGATGATATTCGTATTGAAGCAATAAATGCAGGTATTATATTAAAAGAAACAAATGAAAAAATCGATGAAATTATTAATGATGGACATATTATTAAATCTCATGCGCATGATATACGATCAAATGCTTTACGATTTTATCATAATTTAATTCAATCAGACAAAATTATTCGATATTGTCAGTTAATATTTCTTCTTATTATTATTACTATTATGAGTATATTTATTGGAAAATTTTTTACTAGAAAAAGAAATTCATAAAACAAAAGTAACTTTTAATGGCATACGAAAATATCAGGAGTTAATTTTTATCATTGAATATAAGATGGTTTAGAAAAGATTTCAATATATTTGAGAAAACATAGAACCAATTCAAAATCAAATTCTATTAGAGATGCATAGTTTACTAAGCAGTAGGAAGTTTTTGTTTTAGTCAACAAGAATACAAATCAGATGGACCACATATACAATGAATACTGTAGATAGAAGAAGGCTCCACCGTCATATCTGAAAATCCAAATTTCTTACTGTAAGCATAAAAACAACAACAATCGTTATATTATAATGCTTCACTTCTATAAAAAAAAAGAAAAAGAAAACATAAATCATCTATGTATTTTTTTGCTCTTGACAAATATCTTAACCGTCGATAATTATTCATAACAAGTGTATATTTTCGGATATAAAGATTAAAACCGATCATATTGTTTTTTCTTTCACTAATTCTATTAAATTTAAAGTACGCTTGTTCATATTAGACAAGCTCTATAGGCAAGTGTCTCTTTCATTGAATGCAATTAGTGTATGTCCGTTTATTCGCCTCGAGTTCAGTCTATCTCTTCATCGACTAGAATTTCAGATAGGACAAAAAAAAAACAGAAAAAGAAAAATTGATTAGACTATGTGACAAGTATATTGTACAGTTTTCTATTCGATTTGAAAGAAGAAGAGAAGGAGGAGGAGGAAAACGAGTATGAGGAAAACAACACCTCCCCCTATTTCTCCTCCTTCTCATTCAATAGAGCTACTAGTCCCTTGTGTTGTCAATGCCATGCCATTAACGTCCTGTTGTGTTGTCTGAATGTGTACTCGCGATTCAATTGCCCATTCTTTATATATGGTCTATGTTTATCAATCAGTCACCAGTATGCCCACTGGGAACCTGGTGAAAAACGAGATAAGGTTGAACAGACAAACAAGTGTTTGCACATATATGTATATACATGAGTCCAATGGTCAACATTTGATACAGTTCAATGAATGGTAAAGAAGAAAAAAAAAAGGAAGTAATATGTAATTTGTTCATGATGAGAACAGCGTTAGTTTAATCAATAGAGATATTATTTAAGTTGCCACGCCTTCCGTGTGTCTCGTTGTACAAACAAATGTAAAATTATATTTCATTCATATCAATTTTCATTTTTGCGTCATTGAAAAAAAAAGAAAAAGAACTACAGTCTATTCTTTTTAAAATTCAAAGAACATCTCTTTAATTTACAGTCAATTGCATTTTTTTTCTATATGATGTGATCATTATTGGTTTGAAAAAGGTGACAAATTAGCAAATCACTCCGTTTGTGTCTCTTCATGTCGGCATATGAATGATTGAAAAAAAAGAAAGAATAACAGAACAGAATGGTGTGTCCTTGGAAATCTTACATCATCGATAAGCACTAGTTAGTTGAGAAAAGTGTTTGTTTGATCAGCTCAGCAGGTTTTAACTGTTATGAGATATATGTATATATTTTTGTCTTCTACTGAAAAATATTCATAAGCATATCGAACAAAAGATTAAAAAAAAACTGAATATATATGAATGAAATTTTACTACAGATGGACACGCTTTTCATGACATATGTCCTTCAAAGAAACAAAAGAGATGACACTAGTGTTGTAATATACACACAGAGAGAGAGAGAGAGAAAATCAAACGTTCAATTCTTATTTGATTGATAAAAGGATGCAGCCGAATAATGACCACTCACAGTGTTAAAAGGAAACTAGTCGATAAGGGATGGCATGAGCCGATTAGAAAAAAAACTCGGCAGTTGGTCATAAAAAAAAATTTTTTTTCTGTCTTATTACACTGTTTTTACTTTTAGCTTATTCTTTTTACACCTCTCGAGTTAAGAGCTGTAAAACTATCGTAAATACTATGCCATATGTCTGCTAATGTTAAATTTACTGCTGTAGCTACTACATGACATTGATTAACTTGACTGATAACGACACGACACACGATTATCGAGATGACTGTTTGCCACCTTGAACACACACACATATATTTATATATATATTGAAACTGATAAAATGAAATCTCATGTGTATTAGTGAACAATTAGAAAAAATCGAAGTGATGAATGTGGGTTAGAAAATTGTTTTACTCATGATAAGTTGTCCATGTATTTTAATTCTCTTGTGAATAAAATATTGAATTTTTTTGTTTTCGAAGGCGTTATTATTTCTATGAATATATTTATTTTACGTAAAAATAGTTGTTAATCAATATGCTTATTCATCCATGTACATTTATAACAGATTTATTTTTTCATAATAATCAGGAAATGAAATATCTTACGTCGAAGAATATGATCTAATATGCACAATTTGTTTATGCTTGTTGACAATGATATTGTCAGTCAATCATTGAGATGCCGGATATATATATAAACACCTTCTTTGACAAAGATAAGATGTTCTTTTTATATTCAAGACGATCACGTTCATACGTCTTAGATGTTTTTTAAGTGGCCCGTCAAAAGAATTGATAGTTATCAATTTCATAAAAAGCAAAAAAAAAAAAATAGATCGGTCAACTAATTTGACCTTGAAGAAGGCTAATACTAGACTTAATTAAATTAATTTTCTTTTTTTTATTTTTTATTTTTCGAGAACAGTTGGCCTTCGAAAATTAGCATTTATCTTTTCTTTATTCATGATGAAAGCATGCGCATGCGCGCTCTATACTATTTTTCTATTCAAATAGATCTAAAACGATCGGATGAACAAAAAAGAAGAAAAGTATCATCTCCTTGTAGCTTTGTGCCTTTTTTTACGGCTCAAAGAACACACACATGCTATTAAATCAATCAACATGCAAAACTGTTTTACCAAAAACTATGTTGCAGATCTCAATTAATTTAATGATTAGTTCATATCTCACACGTGTTAATAGAGCCAATCATTGGTTTTCTTTTTCTTTTTTTGACTATCATAAATTTTCATTGGTTATAAATTAAATATACTCTCTTTTATCAGAGGAAGGAAACGAGCAAGTGAGCGAGAGAGAGAGAGAAAGAAGAGACATTTCCTTCTTCTTCTCTTTTTTTATTTTTTTCATTTGAATCGACGTGAACTGTTCAGTAAGTTAATTTCTTTATATTACAAAAAAAAAAGATGCCTACAAAAATTCCTCGTGAAGAAGAACAACGACAATTAAAAGAACTTGAATTTCAAATAAAATATCACGAAAGTCTAGAAAGTATGAAAGAAAATAATCATCATCATCATCATCATCAGCAACATCATGATCATTCAACAACAACAACAACAATAACAACAATAACAAATAAAAAATCAACATCAATTAATGATATTAAAATACCTAAAAAACGTGGTCCAAAAAAGAAACAAATGACACCAGCACGTGTTGCACGTTTTAAAGTTCGACGTATTAAAGCCAATGGTCGTGAACGTGAACGTATGAAAGGTCTTAATGAACAATTAGAAGTTTTACGTGAAACAATTCCATGTTTTTCATTATCACAAAAATTATCAAAAATTGAAACATTACGTTTAGCAAAAAATTATATTGAAGCATTAAGTGAAATGATTCAAAATGATCATATACCTGATAATACACATTTTGCTCAATTATTATGTAAAGGTTTATCACCAAATACAATGAATCTTGTTGCAGCAACACTTTGTTTAAATCCTCGTATATTACAACAACAACAACAACAACAACATGGAAATTCTTATACAACAAATATGATTACAATGGATGAAACTTATATGTTATCATCAATGCATCCAAGAGTACGAAATCCATTAGAATTTATTAATCTTAAAAAAATAGATCATCAATCAAAAACAACCACAACAACAACAATAAATCATAATCATTTTACAAGTGAAAGTGAAGATGATGCTATATTATGTAGTTCAAGTAGTTTTGATCAAACATCATCATATTGTAATGATGCAACAAATAGCAGTATGGATGAAATTAGTCCTAATGGACATATGATTTTACCAGGACCTTCACAAACTTTTACAAATGAATTTTATTCAGATGAACAACATTTTATGTTAAATACTCAACAATTTTATCCATCAACATTACCACCACCGCCACCACCAATTGTAACACAACATCATCATAATTTTTATTATCCAACACACTTTTGATTTGATTTCTTTTTTTTTTTTATTGTATTGTATATGCATATAATTTATTGTAGTTAGATCTGTATAATTGGTTCTCTATATTTTTAAAATACTTAGTGGCCATAATAAAGAAAAAATAAATAAATTTTTTGATTTGATAAAAAAAAAAAGGCAGTTTTGTTATGCATAGATAAGAAATTAGACCAAACAGGATATTTGTTTTTAATGATAAATATACTTTTGTTCGATAAAGAAGAAGAACAAATGAAAACATAAGTTAAGTAATACGTTTTTTTTTTTGAGAAAAAAATGGTGACTAGTGAGAATATTATGAGGGATTTAGATTGGAAGAGGAAAGTGCTTCCTGTCAAACTATTTTACTCAGCAGCAAACATTCAAAAATAAGCCGATACAAACTCAAATTTGATATAAAAAAAAAGACATTTTGCAACTGTAATCATCATCGTTTACCAAAATCCTAAAATTGTCACTGTTTTATCATGTGTTTCTCAAGAAAAGAATTCCGCTCTTCTTATATAAAGAAAACAAGAAGCAAAATTTCATAAGATTAATGTACTATCAATATGCCCAATATTCTGTTTTCTTTGCTGTAATGTCCCTGCTCAAATCCAATCAACTTTAACAAAAATCTTCCAATCGATTTCTTAAGTCATTGATGTTCGTACCAATCTTGATGACCTCAAGTTAGAATATTATATTATTTTCAACATGAGTTTTATACCCCAAAAAAAATGTGATATATCTCATCGGTTTGTTTTGTTTTTTCCTTTAAGCAACAAACACATTCTGATCATTGTCTATAATTTTCTGATGAGATATGATATGACGCATATGCATGCTTATGTATTGTGTATATATAATATATAGATATTTATGAATGTGTGATTCATATCTCCGTGATTAGAAATGTCAATAGAAAGTTCGTATTGTTCCATCTTATTATTCACATTACATCATATGATGATCGTCAAGCATGAAATAGAAGCATGCAAGGTGTTATTTAATCAAGAAAAGTCATCAGATTTTAGTTTGTCCTTTCGATCAAATTTTTTTTTCCTCTCTTTTTTTTTTTTTTTTTTTTTTTTTATCAATGTTTTATTTAAATGAAAAACTAGACAGATGGTGCATGTCTTTTTTTTCACATATACACTCGAAATCATAGAGAACTAGAGAGAAAGAGAAAATTTAACTGTGAATTATTTGATTCGATTAGAACATCATTATTATACGCCCTTTTGCTGGAGGATTAAATCGAAAATAGTATTTCGATATCTAACCGCCTATCAATTTTCTTGTTCGTTGATCGATTACGTGATCGATAGAATATTTCGGATGAAAAACATCAAAAGAACAAATCATATACATCGATATTCATTGCTCGGACATTTATTATACAAGGTGTGTCGGCGACACTGTTGGATGAGCAGTATATATATATATCGGCAGCACGCGACAGACCAATGTTGCGCGCTATTTATGCCTAAAGCGAAGTGACACGCGTACTCATGATGGAGATCGATGATAGCTTGTATATAGAAATTAGCTTTGATCCTCTCAATGTATGATCAGATGTGCTTTTGTGATAATTGAAGACAAATAATGTGTATTCAAATGTATCATAGTTTACATTCATGCTTTTCTATGTACTATATAATGATTTTCTCTGATGTTTTTTACCTTTATAGTATAACGTGTGAATATACTGGTGAATAATTGATGCTTTGTTCACACTAGGCAACTTTATATATGTACGTGTTTCTTTTAGAATTGAACATTTATTGAGTGTAGACAAGGTTGTCTGACACAAGAAAACAAAAGATGAAGTTTAACGCTATGAATATATCACTTGCTGAAAACATCTAGCTAGAATTGCACAAGTGCATATAGACCAGAGACCAAAATGAATAAGAAAATCTCGATTGGATTAGGTCATATTTAAAACAAGATGATTCTTTCATTGTCATCAGTAAAATGTATCTATATCCCACATAAAATTTTACTGTAGTTTTCGTGCATCTTTATGCTAAATCTATCGTTTCAGAGAAACTTGGAAACTTCGTAATGGGGCTGCATTACATATTAGAATTGGGGCTCTATAAAGAAGAAATGTTTTTTTTTCTCAGCGATCAGTGAAAGTAGTAGTTTTTGAGTTTATATAATTAACACTGCTATCGATATAATCAGCTTGAAAGAAGACGCACATAATTATGAAACGGCGTATGATGATTTCTGAGTGCAGTTGAACTCTATCTCAATTCCTGAATCTACACTGCAGTTAGTTATCCCTAAACTTGGTTGAATTCATTACACAACTTTTGAATGAGAAAACGGTGATATATGATTTTCAAAGTTAGCCTTCATGTCAATTAGCGAATCAGAATGTGTGACAAAGTAATAACTCGTGAAATCTACAATTATTTATAATTATACTTCTGATCATGTTATCGAAGAAACAAACCCTTATCATACCAATAATAGAACTCTATTCCTGTGCCGACTGAAAGCTTGAAAAACATCGATAGCTCTAAAAAACTGCATTAAACTAGAAAGATCTACTAGGTATGTGAAAAGAAATATGATCGTAAAAATAGCTGTGCATGGATTTGGCTCCTCTAAAAGTATCTATGTTAAAACAAATCAATAGAAACTAATTTTTTTAAAAATAAAATGCAAGCAATAGTTGATGTAATAGGCATCTCACGCAACAGAACCGATATGACTTGCAAAAGCGTAGTCTCTAATATAGGCTGTTGCTATCAATAAGGTTAAAGAAAATAATATTCTTAATCTTCATTGAATTCATAAATTGGCATAATACTTTCTTAGTTTAAATGAGCATACTGTAAGGGCGAAAGAAAAACCAAAAAGTTCTAGTAGATGCGTTTAGGTCTTATTTGTCTGTATGTCAATAGGCTTTTTGTTTGTACGAGGATGCGATTGAATAATGCGATGCGACGACACTTGTCTACTTACGAAAGTATCATGTACAATGATCAATCGCTTTCGAAATCGGTTTTACCTCACTTGGTTGACTCTGTTGAGAATAAACTGGAACTCGTACACAACTAACGAAGACCACCGTATTATGTTGAAAAATCCATTAGAATGGCCATGATTCAAGAAGATCGAACTGATGAGATAAAATTCATCTCAAAATCAATTTATTACTTGACGAGATTACTTTGTTTAAAAAAGTTTCTTTTCGGATGCTAATAATACCATTTTTATTTAGTAAAAAATGTGATGAAAAGCACCTATCAGCATATCTTGTGAGTTACTATTTGCCTTGTAGAAAAGTTAAATAATCGGGTCTATCTAGGAACAGTTTATCTAGTTTATCAATTTGAATTCTTTATGTTACAATAAGATCGATAAAACAAATCAGTTATTTATGATTCTGAGATTTTAGTTAATAACTGTGTCGACACTATTGCAAGCTTTCATGAAATATACAAGTTCGTTTATTTATTTAATTTATCAAATTCATCACTTTATTTTGTGAACTATTTTATATTGTAAATGTCATAGGATTGAATAAAGAAGTAATTTTAAAAATCTATTCGTACAATAAAATAACAATTTTTCAAGCGAAGTTTTACGAAAATATATAGTAATATATATATGACCTGTGCGGATATAGATTTCCTTGTTCTCCTTTTATATAATAACTTCGTATTCATTATTTTTACAAATGTAACATATCGTATTTTGTTTTGAAAAATTTACTAAGTATACAGGTTATAATTTTATTAATTTATAAAAAGAAGTACAAGAATTATAAAATATTTTAAAGTTTTTCATTTAAATTTCTATGAAAAAATATGAAAAAATTTCTAATAATAGTACTGACATGTTTATAAATGATTGAGAACATTTATTCGTTCTGGAACGAAATATGCCGGTTAAATTGTTAAGTGACCCAGCTGTTGCATAAGGATTCGGTTTAAGATCTAAAATTTTACAAGCAATATGATAAACATCAACATTTTTCAGTGAATTTATTTCAAAATGTTGACTAAAATCTGGGCCCTGTGCCATAAATATAGCTTGCATTGATGGAAGTGTATTATCATATCCATGATTACCTTTTGGAGACGGTATTTTCGTTAGTGCCTAATACATTAAAAACCCGTGAATATATCATGAACTATGATAAAAAAAAAACTAATTTTACTTGTGAAAAATAGATGCCTTCGTTATTAGGTACAAGAATTATTTCACCAAGTCGATAGATTGCTTTTGAATAATGATATCGTTCTGGAAATTCTTCACGTTTGTAAACTGTAACACCAGGAATAGCACGTAAACCATTGAATACTTGTTGAAACTATTTTTTTAATAATATAAAAATTCTACTATTCGATGCATCTCTATGAATTGAAAATCTTTCGTCACATAAGACTTTTTGTCCTGAATATATAGATATGTAAACTTTGAAAACTCAGTGTTACATGTATCTTTTCTAGAAATGTACGAGAATCAATTTTTTTTTCTTTGGTTTAGGTTCTGATGACTTTTACCATCAGTCCCCGTAATTTGTTTGTGTAGTGATACTAGCAAATCTAATTTAATCTCAGTTTCTGTCCTAACAGTTTGTCGTCATCCGGCACATTTTCTAATATTTATTCTTGATTGAAAATTTTATTTCATAGAAATCTTATTTTGATTTGAAGGTGTGAATTTTATATTTCACTGTTTGATCATCAAAAAATTCTATTTAATTAGACAAATTTACTTCTCCTGAACGAGGAGTAACACTAAATATTGGACCATCAAGAATATTATCTTCCACTGACGACCTATTGATATAACCCTCACGAAATGGTTGCAATAATTGTACAATATTAGCCATTCCCTAAAATAAAAAACAAAATCACGTATAACTTTCATTTTTTTTTCATATTGTGCTTTTGTTTATTACATGATCAGATAGAATAATAATGTTTAAATCATCATTAAGTTCACTTTTGACTTTGTTTAATAAATAATCAATATCACCATCAAGACGAAAAAGCTATATAAAACAAAAAAAAAAACATACGAATCATAAATATAATTTAATCGAAAAGAATATTAACTGCTTCACGAGTTTCGTTTGAATCAGGGCCATACGCATGACCTTGTCTATCAGGTTCACTTATTTATAATAAAATAAATTAATTTCTTCAAATGTTTTCTTTTATATTAACTTACTAATGATAAAGCATAGCTAATTGAATAAAATTTTCACGAAAATAAGTAATAGCATTATCTATCTTTTCACGCATTGGAATAGCATCAGAATATAATGAATTATATATGATTGGACGAACACCATTAAATATATTATGAGATGCTGGCCAGTAAATTACAGCAGATCTTTTATTCTAAATTGATATGATTCAATTAATTTGACAGTCAAAAAAAATATATTCTACTTGTTTTGTTGCTGTAATCCATATAGGCTCAACTTTAGGATCAGCCCATTGTCCTTCATCTCGAGTATCTATGAATATATGATATTATAATCAAATATATAATATATTCCGGTTTTTTTTTGTTTACCAAATGTAATATGTTTTTTAATGTTTGTGTCAAAAAATCGATTATGAATAATCCCATGATCTTCTTGATACATTCCTAAATTTTTCTAATTTGAATATTAAAATAAATATTTTTAATTTACTCTACCTGTTGCAATTGATATATGATTAGGAAATGTCATTGTTACAAATGTTGGTTCCATTCCATTTATTGTTCTAACACCTTGATTTTGTATACGATTTAATGTTGGTAACGAATAGTTTTTCAAATAATCATGACGAAATCCTTATTAACATACAAAAAAAAAAATAAGCAGTCACATTAAAAGTTTTTATTTTACCATCAAGTGAAACAATTAATAAACGAGGTTGATTTGTTGATGATATTGGTTCAATATAACAAATAATTAGAATGACATGAATTATTATTATTAATGGAATATATTGATGCATCATGATCAAAGTAAGACACAAGTCAAAACTAAAGATTTTATTCTGATGCAATATAACTAAGGCAAAATAAATAAAAGATAAGAAATATTAGAGAATAAATAATAATACTTACATATGTTTTTGTCTTGGATTTTTCTTTTTTGGCATTAATCACGGTTTTTTTGTTGCTTTGTGCGATATATATCTATTGCCGTCGAGAATGAATAGACATTTGATTTTATCAAAATTCTGATGATGTGATTAGACAGATGATCTTCTTAGTTTGGTATATAACATATATGTAAAGAACTAAAAATGAAACAATAAATCACAAGTACTATTCATTTTTTTTTATCTTTTAGTACTTTATTTATTAAGATTTGTACTGAAAGAAATTGTTAATTAAATATTTAAAAACATATGTATGTTGATCTGTTTTATATATACATTTATTCATTAAAACAAAATGTCAATATGAAAACTACTCAGTTGCAATTTATCTTTTTCCATGATTGAGAAGTTCACATTAAATGACAAGCTACTTTTTATAAGCTGTTGTATGGCAATAGAAGGAGTAGTTAAATGTATTTTCAAACCATATGATCAAGAATATGAATGACAAGAAACATAGCAAAATGCATTGTACTTGGTTCATACTTGTGTCCCAAGCTTAACTATAAACATTCAGCGTCTCACAGATGTTATAAGGGCATTGAGTGAAATGTATTATCTGCACTAGTACGTAGGATAAATTCAGTATAGATATTTATAAGATAAATCAGTTGAAAGCAGTTGCCTATCTACGATCGCCTGAAATAGTAAAATAAAATTCGTTTTGGTTTTATACATCTATCGTATGAAATTGAACTTTGTCTTTTTCAATTGTTGTTAAGAGCAAATAAGAATCTATATTGATAATAGTTGTCGATTACACTCAATAGTTCTTGATGCAACGTACTCGTAGAAAGGAAAAAATAAATATGAATATGACATTCAAACTATTTAAAGAAGAGAATGAAAATAAGGATAGACAAAAGAAATTTCATTACTAAATACAAAAATGTGTTTATCAAATAATTTTCGATAAAGATAAGACAGATATTTGTTAGAGTTGTTTTTGAGAGGCTTCTATGAAGCTTGTTTGAGAAAGATATTGTTTTTGACAATCAACGGATATTTTCAAGTAAAATGGATATAATTCTCAATTGATTGGAAACAAAATAAATACTTCAAGAAATCTATTAAAAAGATTTGTAGCACAGAACTTGATAACTTTCGTCGTCTCTTATCAACTATATGAGTCATAGATTTACTATTAAAAGATATTCAAAAAGCATTCGTTCTTCTCTATTATAAACGAAAAAAGAAATTATAATAATAGCCTTGTGTACAGGTTGATCCAAAAGTTAGTTTTCTCAAAACAAAAAGGTGAAGTATTTAAACTATACTTTAACCAAATGGATCGATTTTTCATCGATCATAAACGAATTGTTTCAAGTACAGTTATATTCAAAAGAAAAATAATGAAAAAAATTCTCTTCATGTGTTACTTTTGACATATGTGTAGATTGCTAAGGTTAATAAGCTTCGAGAAAAAAATATATTCCTCTGATCACAAATAAAGAGTGTACTATGTTTTAAATTAATACATCAAATTTAGCCTATGACAACTTACAGTTCTTTGCATATGTTCTATGTCTATTGATAATTGGAACATATTAATTGTATTCAGTAATCGTTTCAGTCGTCAAAAGAAAAGAAGTAGTTACTATATCCAGTTTCTAAAACAGAACAGACTCGTAAAACAAGCAGTTGTCACAATTTGATAGAATATACTTTTTGAACCAAACTAAATGAGACGAATGATTAGTTTATTGAGTGAAATGAGAAAGTTGATACCATCAGAAGAAAAAGAAAAATTCAGAACTACCTTCTTCTCTGTCGAAGATGTGTCTGCAAAGAATGTTCTTCAATTAGTGAAGAAAAGAAGACAAGCAAATTTATTGATAAAATCATAATTGAAGAAGAAGAGAAAGAATAAAGAAAAAAAGAGGAATATCAAGTAGCTAAATATGTTACGGTCAAAATTGGAATTCTAATTTTAACTGGACAAAATTAGAATTTCATTTTGATGAATTATAAAACTAAGAAAAAACCAATACCAAACACAAATGAGGTCAAGGATGATGATGAGAGTCAGGAAGAAGGTTTTGAATGAGAGTGCCGTAGATAGCCTTGGTGAGAGTGAAAAATTTGTTAGTAAGGATGAATTTTTGAGTAAGTCTAAGGCTTTACGCGATTATCCCCTCTAATTTCACTCGCAACCTTGAGATATAGACCCAGCCCTTCTCACTCTTACTCAGATCTGTCTCTCATCTTTACCATCATTTTTGATTCCACTCGTATTCGTATTGCTGTTTTTTTTCTCAGTTTTACAGTTCATGAAACTAAAATTCTGATTTTGTCTGGTCAAAATTAGAATTCCAATCTGGTCTGGACAAATTTAGAATTTGACCGAATTCCAATTTTGACCGTAACACTATTCTTTTCAAGATCTATCTCTGTGCAAAATTACAAGTCGAAATTCAAAAGTAAAGTTTTCTTGTATTTTTATGGGGAGAGGGGGGAGGAGGGGGGTGCACAGCACTTATTTAAAAACTACCGTAAAAATGCACTATCTTCATCGTAATATGCAAACCACCTGAACTCTTTTTTTAGAATATTCATGGCTCATCTGAATTTACACAAGGTATACAGTCTCAATTCAAAAGCGATTGAATCAGGGCTCCGCGTAAGGTGGGATGGAACGAAAAAATCCTTCCATGGGATGAGGTATCGCAAACCGCTCCATGTGTGATGGGATATCCTCAAAATTTTCTGTCCCACATGGAAGAGGATTATCCTCAAATATTTCGTCCCACTGTGGAATGGGATGGGATGCAAAATTTTTCATCTCATTCAATGCATCTCATGGGACTTCGCACTCGTCATATATTTAATAAAAAATTTCTGAACATATTATATTCATTAATAATAGGTGGATCGAGAGTTTTCAGATACAATATTGCTTCATTTTTCAACTGGTTGACAGGACAAATAGCAATTGTAAAGCCTTGAACTAGCATCAGAATTATGTATTCTTTACGAACCTAAGTTCAAAATATTTGCGTGAATCATAGATTAGCAGTTATGCATTAGTATTTGAAAGGTCTTAAAATAGAGTTTGAACGGGTTTTAGTGTGGTAAAACCATCTAGGGTAGAATTCAAGTTTTATTTCACAACATCAAACGAAAGAGTAAACGTTTCTCTATAGAATAATATCCTGGTCCTTAGTTCTCCATGAAGCGTCTATCAACAACGAGAGCTTTGGCAAGAGTTACAATAACAATTTTGCAATTCTTAGGTTCTCAGAGTTCCAAAGTTAACTCGGTCATTTCTGGAGAATTGCTGCACGATCCTCGATTCTTAACGCACTTTGTAGAGCATAGCGTTGCCCTTCATGCTGTGAAAAAAACTTGATAATAAAGCGTATACTATGGGGGAGGGGGGGGGGGCAGTAGGGAGAATCATTGCTGAGAAGGACATTTACTATTTGCGTCCTGATTCAAAAAGCCATCAAAACTTGATACCGCCAAACAAAAAGAAGTGAGAATAAGTGGAATAGGTGTCTGTATAACAGAAATACTCAAGTGCCAAAAAATCGCTGGAAACTGTCATAGAACTAATTTCAAACAGGATACGGTCGTATTCTTTATCTTTATATCTGTTAGTGCAATTTTCTCTCTCCAAATTTTAATTTAAGACCTTGCAAAGATTAGCTCACAACCCCTATAACCCATGGGTTCCACAAATATTTCGAATCCAGATTCGGAAAGAGCACAGAATTCTGATTCTAATTGAAGGTTTTGAAGTTTTCGTTGAACCCTTACTCAATCAAGTTATGAAAGTACATTGTTGCTCCTAACTTTTCGACCCTCTCACTACTACTAAATTTTACATCATTTGATTTTGTATTTCATAATCTTATCATAAATAAGCTCACATCTCGCCGAAAAAGACATCTATTTCGAAAAAATTGCATTGTCTTCATTAATAGAAAATGATTCTTGTAAAAAATGTTTGTCCCAATGAATTCCATGGGATAGAATGATTTTTCAAGCTCGCATGGATAGGATGGAATGGGATCATTCTGGAAATTCTTCGTTCCATTCCATCCCATAGAGCGTTTTTCAAAAAATTTGCATCCCACGAAACCGATAGGACGGAGTGGGATGAGGTGGGATTGTCCCATCCTACACAGAGCCCTGATTGAACAGTTGGTCGCGCTTCCTCTTGAGTCTTTTTCAACTTTAGCATAATCGACTGTTTTTCCTACATACAAGGGATCATGTGTTCATATTATTACTAGAATTTGTAAACCTATCTACTTTTAGTGGACAAGATATGAAATTAAATAAAATATAACCCTCTTGAATCCGTATCAAAGGAGCAATAAATGTATCAACAGACTTTGCCAAAAGATATTGATTAGTTGTAGAAAACTAAAGACTTATAGGGAAAAATTGGAATGTGCAATTTTGAATTGAAAAGTTTTCCTCCAACAAAAACAAAAATGATATTCGTAATCAGCGCAGAATTGAGTTAGACTACATAGTTTTTATCACAATTCATGTTCCTCATAAGAGTTGTCTATAGTTCCTTACAGGAAAAAGTTTTTGCAAAATGAGCTACGGGAAACTTCTAAGCAACTTTCGTGAGGAAAGTGTATTTTGATAAAAAGTATGTTCTCTGACTCAACTGTTTGTGTTGAAAACTACAATGATTGTTTTTATTGGGAGGAGAGCTTTTCAAATCGAAATCGCATATTCCGATTGTTTTGTTATAAGTCCTTAGTTTTCTACAACTTAACAATAATTTTTGAAAATGTCTATTCATACGTTTGTGGCTTCTTTGATGCTGATTCAACAATGGCATATGCTATTTAGTTTCATTTCTTATCTACTAAAAATAGATAGATTTACAAGCTATAGTAATAACATGAACAAATGATCCTTCGTATGCAAAGAAAAATTTCATAGTTATTAGCATTGGATAGAAGAAAGTCAGTCATTATTTCTTAAAACTAAGTGATTTTCCTATACACAGTTTTATGAGCTGTACTTAACTATATAGAAATGATTGAGAAGAAAAATTTGCTCGAATTTTAGATTTTCTCCCGTCGTATAACAATTGAGAAATAGTCCTTACTCATTCATTATGTAACAGTCACACTTCCAAAACTGATCCGGTGAAACAGTTTCTTTTGAAAAAGAACTGGACGAGTGATTCAAGTTCATTTTCTCCATCGCTAACTATCACAGAACTACTCCAAACCATTTTCATTTAATCCTCAATTCCTGTTACAAGTATATATCCTATATGAATCATTTAGAAAATCCTATTTCGTTTTCATAACATATCATAGACTGTTAATTGATACTTATGTCAATAGTAATATTTCCAAATAGTATTTTTCATTGTTTTTTTCTGTGAATGTGAACTATGACATAGATACTCTGGTTTGTCTTCCCGATAAGCAAATATTTTCAAATATTCTGTATATTATTCTTATTTTTATCAAATTTTTCAAACAAAAGTAATTATAAAATACGGCGCGAATATATGTATATATATTCTCATGAGTTGTAGTCATCGTCAACATCAGCATCAAGATAATGATATTATCTATCAAAAAGATTCTCTACTCAAATATGAATCTCCACGTCTTATTGTTAGTCATGATATTTCAGATACAGATTATAAAAAAATTTGTCGAGCAACTATTTCTCCTTCTTTTCAACCAATATCACTCTATGATACTAATTTAAAACTTTTTGATCCATATTCTGATTTATGTCGGCCTGCATATATACTTGACTTTCTTTTCCCACCTATTGAACATATTGATAAAAATAATCATAAATATGTATGTTAAATTTTATTTTCAAAACTATAAACACTCGATATATAATTTCTTTTTTGAAATATAGATCATATGTGTATCACGTCATCCAGCAACAATAACTGATGTTTACAATTTACAAAAAAATCTTGATCGTCGTTTAAAACTTTCTCAAGCACTTGAAGTTGGTTTATGTAATCATCGCCGTAAGATATATAACGAATGTTTTGATGAACTGGTACGACAAATAACAATTGAGTGTAGTGAACGTGGTATTTTATTATCTCGTATTCGTAATACATATCGTCAAATGATGAATGATTATTTAAATAATTATTTAAGTGCAAATGCATATGCAATGAGAACGTTTCTTCTTAATGAAGAAATTAAAATAAAATTAAATAATCAAATTGATCATTTACAATATGACATTGAACAAATAAAAAAAGAATTAATTAATGCTGAAGATCATTTTGAAAATATTTTAAAATTATATTCAAAATTTAAATCAACAAATGAATATCGATATGAATCAATTAATATTACTATACCATTTGAATTACAACAATTAAGAACAACAAATAAATTATTAAAACAAGAATTAGAAAATGTTTTATGTAAAAAATTAAATATCAATCCATCAGAAAGAATAAATAAGAAAAATGAAGATGAATTAGAAAATATTAAATATGATATAAAATAAAATCTTTAAATGTTTTTATATTATTGTAACTAGAAATTTACATTGAAATCACAATCAGAATTTTTTATCATAGTAACCTGACAAAGGAAATAATCTCCATCCAAGTTTATTGCCTAGATAAAAATCTTAAAAAACTATATGTACCATTAGCGTTTTCTCCTTGAATTATAATCCTTTTCAGTCTATTAAAGAATATTACGAGACAAGTTTGTTTAACTCTTAGAGTCTGTTTTCCCCGTAATATTCTGCAATAGGTTGAAAATGATCATAACTCAAGAAGAAAGCGATGATGGTACATATTACGGTACTCAACCGAAGTTAATCGACATCTAGCAGTTATATTCACAGGGCTTCCAAATTGTTGTTTTTTTAAAGAAGGACCAAATCAAATGATTCAGGATTCACTTGGCATCATTCTGCTTCTAAAATCGGATCAATTTCCAAGAGTATACATTTACTTGTTGCTGATGATGCTTGAATGTAGTGAAATTTTAATGCCAAATGTCATAATTGTAGTTAGATATATGAATGCTTTTCCCATCATGTTAATTTATTTTTTCCTCTATATGCATTCAGTTAGCTCGTCATATGGTTATTCATCATCTGTGAATGACTTTCCATTAAAAACGAATTCTTTTAAAAAACCAACATCGCTTTTCGCTTCTGTGGTCTGTTCTCAAATATACTAAATTGCTTAGGTTCTCATTCGTATGCTTTTATATAAATAGAAGTTTAACATGTAAAAATATTTTTGTAACATCGTGGTTTCATTAAGTGCTAAGTTGGATGTCAGGTACTCTTGATCAAGTTGGAGGATCCTAACTTTTAGGATTTTTATCTAAATAATGCACTCTAACAATCAGCAAAGTATGAATTCGAACAGAAGTTATCAATAGAAAGAGTTCTCTGGTAAATAGTTTTATCAGAAAGTCATATATCACACTAAAAGAATTTCGACTTGTAAATTTTATTCTTTCATTATGATTGCAAAAACGGATGTTTTTGAAATATTCTGCTGGTGTCTCTTAATATTCATGACTCGAAAATCAGCTGTAATGCAAATCCCCAGCCGTAAACCAATTGTATCTGTCATATTATAACAAGTTCGATAGAATATATGTTATAAAATGTGTCTACACATAGTGAGCATTCATTTTCATAAAAAAGATAACATTTGAAAAACATTCTATTTCTACGTAGAAATAAACACTTGAGAAGAATTATCGGTCACTTCTTGATTGAACATAATTATTAATTGGAAAATAATTTCATTGTCATCGGGCAGTACACTATTCGACAAAATTTAGTATTTTTGATCATTTAGATATATTAAGTTGATAGATCATATGAAAAACATTTCTTTAATAAAATTTTTTCACTCTTCTACACAATTCTTTTGATTCAAATTTATATTGTAAGATGAATCTCATGTTATCTATTGATATATCTTGTAGCAGTTCACATTGAATTTCTCACATCATTCGAATAAAGTTCATTTAAAAAGAATACCTCTATGCACTTTAATGTATAAGTTTCCATGTTTATTTGGGAAATGGTTGTAAAAAAAAACGACGTAATCATTACCATCGAAGATCAAAAACAGTCATCTTTATGGTTCATTTACAACCGTAATCTATCATCTTGTTTGACAAATCATACCTTTTTTTTCTGTTTTTAATTAAAGCCATCGATGTCTAGTCTAAGAATGAATATTTTTGATAACTATAAAAACTAACGTCCATCTTGAGAGAATATGTATATATATGTATAAACGATTGATAAACGTGCTCTGATCATTCGCCTTGCTTTTTATGAATATCAATATTTACCTATTCTTTTCTTTTATATATATATATATCAGTTCGTGTATGTAAAGATAAAATAATGAATTCATATAATAAAAAAACAGTTCGTTTATTGTCTAAAGAAAATGATTCGATTAAATTTTTGACCAAGAGGAAAAAAAAATAAAGCTTACTTTTAGTTTTTATTAGAAAAAGTAATGAGATATTTAATATATATATATATATTTGTTTTCAAGCTGATGATCATGACAAATCATTGAAGCATAATGTTTGTGATTTATCGGTTATAAAAAGAGAAGAAGAAAAAAAAACAGAAATCTAATCAAATCAATTGATGATCGACCGTGCGAAAGGAGGAGCGTATTCATCGGACTAGAAAATCATCATTTCGTTTGAACTAATCTTTTTCTATACAAGAAGAATAAAATTTTAAAACGAATGGGAATCAATTCATTTTCGATCTATCTTAAAATTTCAATCATTTAAACCGAAATAAAAAGAAAAGGTATTTATCATTTCTCTTATCAATGTAAATATTGATTTGAACCAATGAGAACAAATTCTTATCTATGTCTCTCTAACCTACTTGAAAACAACAAAAATTAATACAAAATGATTAATTAGAGATGCACATATAGTGGAATTTTTTAAAAAAACATAACACAATTTTACGCTGACGAGAGTGTGTCATATATATTTATATATATACATATATATAGGTGCCATCGTATGCAAATGTCTTCTCCACTTGACTATTTTGAACAATAGAAAATAATCATATGATTGACAGTTGATTTTTTTAATTAATATATTTCTGAATATTGTAAGAAAACAGAAAAAAAAGAAAGAGAAAAACTGTACAAAAAACAAAGAAAAAAAAACGAAATCCTCTTGCTTTTATGGCCATACACTTGTTGGCCAAGCTGAATTCGGAGCTGTTTGTTGTTGTCTTAAACAATTTTCATATGAATTATGAAATTGTGTATTTGATGTTGGATATTGATGATGATGATAACCAAGTGATGACATATAAACATTATATGCTAATGGATCAAATGTTGATGATGGATTTGTTGTTGATACTGAACCTGTTAGAGTTGTATCATTAAGTGTTGTACCATATGGTGAAGATGTTGGAGATGATGATGTTGCTGGCGGACCATAAAGAGATTTACCATCTTGTACAAGTAATGGTACAGGTACACGTCGAATTGGTTGTTGTGTTTGAGGCGGTGGTGGAGAATTATTTGGATCAAAACACAGATCTGTATACGAGGAACCTGTTTTCGAAGAATTTTCTTGTTTAGCACGTTTAAGTTTATATCGACTAGAAGGAATATTTATATATATATATCTATATATATTTGTTAAGAATTTCAATGATATAATAAATACATACTGATTTTGAAACCATATTTTACATTGATTAGCTGTTAAACCAATATGTTTAGCTAATAATTCTCTTTCAGGCGCTGATAAATAATGTTGAGCATTAAAACGTTGTTCAAGTGTAGCTATTTGTTGTTTAGTAAATAAAATTCTACGTTTACGTTTTTTTCCAACATTTGATATATCATTTGAATTATTTGATTTAGTTTTTTTAACATTATTATTATTATTATTTGTTTGTATTTGTGTTGGTGATGTACGTACTAATGTTTGTTGTTCATCATTATCTAATATTTTTGATGATGTTGATGAGGATGCTGATGCTGACATTGAAGAATTATTTTTTTCTTCATTTATTGTATTGAATTGAGGTTTTATTGGTATTATAGATGATGTTGATGGTACACAATGAACAGGACTATGATGTATTGATGTAGAATTTGGTATATATGGTTCAAGTTTTTCAGTTTTAAATTCATTATTTAATGGTGACATTGAACTACGATAAGCTGCTGCTGCAGCTAATGATGAATATGTTGATGCTGAATGATGATGATGATGATGATGTCTATCATAACTTGTTGGATAAGAATGTGAAGGATAAAGACCAAAACTGTTCATATCTAAATAACAAAAAAAATAACATGTTTATGAATAAATTAAATAGACAATTTTTATGTTTTCTATTTTAAACGATTGACATCCGCCGGTAAGATCAAGCAATATCCGGACCGAAGAAAAAGAAGAAGAAGAAAAAAAATTTAATAAACCTCAAGAAAATATATAATTGTTGGTCAATTATTTTCGATTGATCTTGTTTTTTTTTTTTTTTGTATACCTGGAAAATTTTCTGTACCCATCCATGATGGTGTTGGAGCATAAAGTAATGGATTTTGATAAGCAGCAGCTGCAGCAGCTGCTGCTGATGCTGTACCAACTAGATCGTGTTTGATACCGTTCATCATGTTCGATTCCTTAAAAGATAAAAACAAAAACGAATAAATTCAATATAAAGCAATGAATATGAAAAATAAATTGAAAAACTTCGGTTTTTTAAAAATTCTATACCATTGATCAATATAATTGTCAAGATGTGTGTGCTCATCATTGTTGATAAAAAAAAAGTGAAAAATGCATTTGTCCGTTTTTTCCTTTTTTTTTCTTTTTTTGTTCTTTCTCGTCTATCTTTTCTCCTTCTCTCTAGATTAGAGGATGCCGCACATGAGGGACCACTCCAACAGGCTGGTTTTCAAGGATCGCTACTCAAATGGGCACTTGAAAAAAAAAGGAGGAGAAAAAGAAGAAGAAGAAAAAATGAGATGACGATTGTTACGTACTCGTCAACGTACGAAGAGCCACTCGTTATGTTGAAGGGATAGCCAATCTCGAGTGCACACCGTTTGTGTGTTGTGCACACAAGTTGTTATTGTTGTGTATGTGTCTATGCGTGTGTGTGCACCTTTTTTTTTTCTCGCTTTTTCTCTTTCTACGATTTTTTTTTTCTTACTTTCAGGTAGATAGCCTCAGGAGAACTTTATCTACTTGGTCAAATAAAAGTAAAAGAGAGAGAGAGAGAGTAAGAGAGGAAAAAATATATGTGTAGAATGAATAACGAACACACACACACACCGTCTCTGTGTAATCTGCACTTGAGCAAGAATGAGGAGAGAGAAAAAAAGGAGAGGCCTGTCAAATTGATTTCATCGTCGGTATCATATGCAAATAGTGGAGCACTTCTCTTTTTCTCTGTTTCTTCTTTTTCTTCTTCTTGCTTCGAAGTTTAATCACCATACAATTGACTTTGTA